TTTACACTCTGCAAACTACAGAAATTTGGAAAAGCTCAAAGAGATGGTCACCCTAATCAAGGACCACCTAATTATATAGCAATAATCCCCCAATCCATATAATTAAGTTTTAATCTAATAAAATTTTATTATTATGAAATGTAAGAAAAGAAAGTACCTAGCTAAAACAGATTTGGTCAGTGCATAAGCTATGATAGAAAAAAATCTATCCTTGAACTATGCTTCAGAGAAAAAAATGGCCAAAATGGTGAAAAAGTGTTATCTAGTTAGTAAAAAAAATATATACTTACTCTTACTAACTATCCTATGGCAAAGTTTGGCTCCCTTGTGCTCTTATGCTGCTTGTTCTACACAACTTCTTTCCAATAGTCTGCACATGGAAGCCAATGTTCAGTAAGGTTTCATGATCAAGCAGCTTCCGTCCATCAAATATGTATGCTGGTTTCATCATGACTTCATATATCTTTTTAAAGTCAAGCTCTTTGAACTCATCCCATTCTGTGCACAACACTATTGCATGTGCTCCAGTGACAGCAGAATACGCTGAACTGTGAATGCTAACATTTTTCCTGACAACTTCTGGTTCAGATGTTACTAATGGATGTGTTAAATCATACATTATCTGTTCTTCCTCCACTTTTGGATCATAAATATGAAGTTTTGCTCCCTCATCAAGTAAAGTTGATGATACATAAATAGCAGGAGACTCCCTAGTGTCTCCAGTGTTCTTCTTAAACGAGAAACCTAGTATTGCAATATTTTTATCAGTCACAGTATTGAAGAGTGATTCTATGACTTTCCTAGTGAAACGGGTTTTCTGATAATCATTCAAATCAACTACTTGCTGCCAATATGCTGCCACTTCTGGTAGGTTTAGACATTCGCATAAATATATTAGATTCAGTATGTCTTTTTGGAAGCAACTGCCTCCAAAACCTATTGATGCTTCTAGGAATTTTGGTCCAATACGAGAGTCACGTCCGATAGCGCGAGCCACCTCGGACACATCAGCTCCAGTTGCCTCACACACAGCTGACAAGGAGTTAATACTCGATATTCTCTGAGCTAAAAATGCATTAGCTGCAAGTTTTGATAGTTCTGAACTCCAAGTGTTAGTTGTTATTATATTTTTGGCAGGTATCCAATGCTCATACACCCAGCACAGTTCTTGAATAGCTTTCTGACCCTCTAAAGTATCTTCGCCACCAATCAGAACCCTTTCTGCTTCAACCAAATCAACTATTGCAGTACCTTCTGCTAAAAACTCTGGATTAGACAGTATCTGATACTCAACACCAGGTTTAGTGTTAGCTCTAAGTATTTTCATGATGATTTCAGCAGCTTTCACTGGCACTGTACTTTTTTCGACTACGATTTTGTTGCTTGTCGCTAAGTCAGCGATCATTCTAGCAGCACCTTCTATGTATTTTAAATCTGCAGCCCTACCTTTACCATTACCAAAGGTTTTAGTCGGCGTATTCACAGATATAAAGATCAAATCTGCTTCTCTGATCCCTTTAGCTATGTCTGTAGAGAAAAACAGATTCTTGCCTCTGCATTGACGCACCACATCGTCTAATCCTGGTTCGTATATTGGCAATTTGTCGGAATTCCATTGATTTATGCGTTCAGCGCTTTTATCACACACTGTTACTCTAATATGGGGGCATTTTAGAGCAATCACACTGCAAGTCGGCCCGCCAACGTATCCAGCACCGAGACAGCAAATTTTTTGGATCACCATTTTATAACTTTTTATATACAATGCACAAGGTAAGGCGAATTAAGCGATGAACTGACGTGCGAGCTGAGGCGACGGCTTGTTTTAATTAACTGGCGGCATCCAGATGATCGTAATGTTTTATTTAACGGGGATTTTCTTTCCACCAATCGCCGTACGATGCACCGCACCCGTGTGGAGTCATTGACATTTCAGGATAGTAGTGATGTACGAGTGTGTGTGCACACGGTAAAAAAAGCATAAAAAAAGATAGTTACATAGTTTTGTTACGATTATTATCAAAGTCATTATTGTATTCATTGCTTCGAGAAACAAACAAATTCTGCCAATATCTCGTAGTGAAGGAGACCTGAACATTCATTTTATAATAATTTTCTTTTTGTAGTTGTTATGTAGAACTAGAAATACCATCATTAGTTGTAATAAGATATGTTTAGTTAAAAGTATTTTTAGTTTTCGATATGAATTTCATTGGGCTCATACCAATAAAAAAAGTTTTATAATTATTATTAATAGTCATATAAAGTTATCAAAAATATAACAAACATATAAATAAAACAAGAAAATTTCATAATGTTTATATTATTTTGCAATCATATTATTAAAATAAAATTTATTGATTGATTTCGTGCCGGATGTTATAAAACATGATCTCCTCTAATGTTTTTATTATAAAATGAATGAATGAGTTATTATTTTATAATTTAATCACGAACTCATTAAGCATCACCGCCAATTGTACATATTAATTTATTGTACCCATATATTTTTTGTCCATTACTGTATCGGTATACAACAAAGAATACTTCATTCATTTATGACTAAGATACAGTAATAATGAATTAATTATACGAGGAAAAGGGTTAAGAAACCTAAAAAAATATGAATGCATCAGGCAACTTGACAGTCAGTGTTAGTCAATGGCATATTTTGAAGTTAAGCGCAAAAGTTAGCATTGCTTTAAGTCTACAAAATGTAAACTAAAAAATTGAAGAAGTTTAGTGATTGGTTGCTAGACTACTGTCAAATGTCCTTCCATATAAACTAGAGTTGTTTTGCATTTTATTTTGTTATATTAGCCATAGTGTAAATTTGCAATAGTAGAGAATACAGGTCAAGTTCGGGGCTGTTTTTTAACAGAATACCATATCTGATATTATGTTGTCGATGATAGCCGGCTGTCGCTAGTTAAGCTACATTGACAAAGTCATCAGTCAGTGTGCATTGAATCCTGACTGATAGAAAAATTGGCAACCCTGAGATGGGATGTGAAGCCATGACCTTTCGCAATCCGGGCGACTGCTCTAATCACTGAGCTCTAACCCAGTGAATTTTTTCCTAAATAATGGAAACATTCAAAACTATTTTAGCCAGGTGAAATACAAAGTACATATTATGTTAAGTACGAAGACCTAAAACTTAGTAGAGTCAATAGCATATTAGGTTAAATAAAGTACGAAAATTCTCCATTTCATTATAAATTAGGTCTCTTGTGCCGAAAGTTGTTTGAAATGGATTACTTAAATTTGCTATTTTGATAAAATTGTAACAGGTTTGAGAATTTAATTGAATCGCAAACTATTAAAAATATTATTAATGAAAATCCATTTTGTCTGCGGTACTCTTAAATGGGGTTTGAACCCACTTCACACACGTTCCAGTTCTATTTTAGCTGAAATTGTATCGTCACTTAGTAGAATAGAAAAACCATTAAAACCGTAGTTTCGTTCGGTTTCGATCCGTTTTCGATTCGATTTAAACAAAATTTATTTAGTAGAATTGGCCCCCTGATATATCGATAGGACGATTAAATGAGTGTGTGCACGAAGATATATAAAAGTAATTAATTACATAATATAAAAAAAAATCGATACCACATTTTAAATACGTAACTTTGACAATCCTAGCCAAGATTGACAGTCCGTGATCTAGACACGAAAAGACTGTTATACAATATGTAATTTAATAAATATTTCACGCAGACAGTTAACAAGCTCTAACGGCGCAATAACCATTTTACTTTTAATTGCCCAATAAAATTTATTTATTTATAATATAATAAACAATATGTCGCATTTTAACGAACGATAAACGCATAAAAATGATATTAGAAAGAATTGAAACAAGCTTCATTATAGTGGCTATATAACTTAATAAAATTTCAACAAGTCGATTTCTATAAATCAAATTGAGCGTCGACGTTTTATTAATGTTACTTACGCCTCTCTATACCTAATTTTGCGTATTCATGTCAGTTGAGTAAGAATAGGGTCAAATGACGGCAAAGATAAAAAAAGCCCTTAGCCTTAAAGAGTTGAGACCGCAAAAATGGGTAGAGGGATCGTTCCTTAGTTCGGTCCTTTCTACTTACCCGGCAAAGGATCAGGCGTGAAAATATAGATACGATAGATAATAAAGTTTGCCATTAGCTCCAAACGGTATGATTACGCCACTGATTTTTGATGGGCCATTTGCTCCGATAATACAATATTAGTAAAAAATCTTTGGAACCTTATTCCGCGTAATTCGTCATAGTCTGTATCTACCATTGACGCATCTCGGAATTTCGTCTAGTTTTTATATTTTTTTATGTGCACTCCTAATACGAGGAAAGACTGATATACTATACTATTAGGGGCCGTTCATGTCACGTTTTTTAGAAGGACATACTTAAAAAACATCATCGTGTCGTCACGTCATCATTAGTTTATTAATGACCTCGATGCTGAGGCACGAGCCTTAGGTATGGATAGAATGACATCAAGAGAACTAAGTTCATATAATCCTCATGCAATGCTTACTGATAGTATATAAAGGAAGGATATTTATAATAAAATCAATTTCACTAGTTTTGAAGTAAAAAAGGTCATATAGTCGTATCAATAAGTATAGAGATTTGACAGTTATATGTTATTGACTGTACATATCATCTTTGCTTCAATTGACATCATATTTCAAAAAACAAGCCCTTTACACTCTGCAAACTACAGAAATTTGGAAAAGCTCAAAGAGATGGTCACCCTAATCAAGGACCACCTAATTATATAGCAATAATCCCCCAATCCATATAATTAAGTTTTAATCTAATAAAATTTTATTATTATGAAATGTAAGAAAAGAAAGTACCTAGCTAAAACAGATTTGGTCAGTGCATAAGCTATGATAGAAAAAAATCTATCCTTGAACTATGCTTCAGAGAAAAAAATGGCCAAAATGGTGAAAAAGTGTTATCTAGTTAGTAAAAAAAATATATACTTACTCTTACTAACTATCCTATGGCAAAGTTTGGCTCCCTTGTGCTCTTATGCTGCTTGTTCTACACAACTTCTTTCCAATAGTCTGCACATGGAAGCCAATGTTCAGTAAGGTTTCATGATCAAGCAGCTTCCGTCCATCAAATATGTATGCTGGTTTCATCATGACTTCATATATCTTTTTAAAGTCAAGCTCTTTGAACTCATCCCATTCTGTGCACAACACTATTGCATGTGCTCCAGTGACAGCAGAATACGCTGAACTGTGAATGCTAACATTTTTCCTGACAACTTCTGGTTCAGATGTTACTAATGGATGTGTTAAATCATACATTATCTGTTCTTCCTCCACTTTTGGATCATAAATATGAAGTTTTGCTCCCTCATCAAGTAAAGTTGATGATACATAAATAGCAGGAGACTCCCTAGTGTCTCCAGTGTTCTTCTTAAACGAGAAACCTAGTATTGCAATATTTTTATCAGTCACAGTATTGAAGAGTGATTCTATGACTTTCCTAGTGAAACGGGTTTTCTGATAATCATTCAAATCAACTACTTGCTGCCAATATGCTGCCACTTCTGGTAGGTTTAGACATTCGCATAAATATATTAGATTCAGTATGTCTTTTTGGAAGCAACTGCCTCCAAAACCTATTGATGCTTCTAGGAATTTTGGTCCAATACGAGAGTCACGTCCGATAGCGCGAGCCACCTCGGACACATCAGCTCCAGTTGCCTCACACACAGCTGACAAGGAGTTAATACTCGATATTCTCTGAGCTAAAAATGCATTAGCTGCAAGTTTTGATAGTTCTGAACTCCAAGTGTTAGTTGTTATTATATTTTTGGCAGGTATCCAATGCTCATACACCCAGCACAGTTCTTGAATAGCTTTCTGACCCTCTAAAGTATCTTCGCCACCAATCAGAACCCTTTCTGCTTCAACCAAATCAACTATTGCAGTACCTTCTGCTAAAAACTCTGGATTAGACAGTATCTGATACTCAACACCAGGTTTAGTGTTAGCTCTAAGTATTTTCATGATGATTTCAGCAGCTTTCACTGGCACTGTACTTTTTTCGACTACGATTTTGTTGCTTGTCGCTAAGTCAGCGATCATTCTAGCAGCACCTTCTATGTATTTTAAATCTGCAGCCCTACCTTTACCATTACCAAAGGTTTTAGTCGGCGTATTCACAGATATAAAGATCAAATCTGCTTCTCTGATCCCTTTAGCTATGTCTGTAGAGAAAAACAGATTCTTGCCTCTGCATTGACGCACCACATCGTCTAATCCTGGTTCGTATATTGGCAATTTGTCGGAATTCCATTGATTTATGCGTTCAGCGCTTTTATCACACACTGTTACTCTAATATGGGGGCATTTTAGAGCAATCACACTGCAAGTCGGCCCGCCAACGTATCCAGCACCGAGACAGCAAATTTTTTGGATCACCATTTTATAACTTTTTATATACAATGCACAAGGTAAGGCGAATTAAGCGATGAACTGACGTGCGAGCTGAGGCGACGGCTTGTTTTAATTAACTGGCGGCATCCAGATGATCGTAATGTTTTATTTAACGGGGATTTTCTTTCCACCAATCGCCGTACGATGCACCGCACCCGTGTGGAGTCATTGACATTTCAGGATAGTAGTGATGTACGAGTGTGTGTGCACACGGTAAAAAAAGCATAAAAAAAGATAGTTACATAGTTTTGTTACGATTATTATCAAAGTCATTATTGTATTCATTGCTTCGAGAAACAAACAAATTCTGCCAATATCTCGTAGTGAAGGAGACCTGAACATTCATTTTATAATAATTTTCTTTTTGTAGTTGTTATGTAGAACTAGAAATACCATCATTAGTTGTAATAAGATATGTTTAGTTAAAAGTATTTTTAGTTTTCGATATGAATTTCATTGGGCTCATACCAATAAAAAAAGTTTTATAATTATTATTAATAGTCATATAAAGTTATCAAAAATATAACAAACATATAAATAAAACAAGAAAATTTCATAATGTTTATATTATTTTGCAATCATATTATTAAAATAAAATTTATTGATTGATTTCTATTTAATTTAAAATTGTTGTTAAAATATAATTTGTTCCTTTTGAATTGGTTAATTTATATCATTTGTTTTTTTTTTCGAAAATTAATTTATTGAGGCGTTTTTATTCAAGTTTTCATTTATTATTATATTTCCTTGAAATTTCTTTATTAGTTTCATTATTTTAATTAATAATTTAGAACTAGTGTATTACTATTCAACGAAGATATTAACAAATTATTATAGATGACAATCCATAGCCCAAACTAGCGTCATCGACTTTTTAGATTTTCAGATTAACATCCATTATCGATATTGGTGCGTAAACACTAGCACTATCCAGTAGTGTTACAAAGTTATGTATTCAAATTAAATATTAGTAGCAGTTTGCGCCCGTTAATTCAAATGAATAAGTATATTTTATTATGATGAAATAAAGATTATGAAGCATAAAAGAAAGATATCTAGCATAAATTTAAGTTATATAGAATTCCTAAGTGTGTTCGTTCGTAAATATACACTCGTGATGTATCACTAAAGTGCTTACTTTGACTTTTTTAAAGACATATTTAAGTACATAATCTATTTTGTGTTAGGATGAATTGGACCTATATCTTCTTTATAACAAAGCCATTACCCATTAACATGCTTTTGTTTGTTTTTAACGACTTAAAAAAGGAAGGAGGTTATTAATTCGACTGTATTTTTTTTTCTGTTTAATTGGTGATGTTTTAACAAACATCACGCGTATTAAATCCCCAAAACTCAAATTATTTCTAAAATGCATGAAATAAAAACCTTTTATAAAAAAATAGAACCAACTTCAAATAAAAAAAGGAGAAATATAATACTTATCCTAAAATCAGTTAATTTTTTTAAGAAACATTGAAGTCGGCGGTTAATATAATAACTAATTACAGATAACCTCAAGCCGGCTTATATGTTTATTTCTCACTGTAATTATTATTTCTCACTTTTTTAAATTTGAAGTCGGTACCATTTTTTTATAATAAATTTATATGTCAATGTTTTTAGATGAAAGTAAAATCCAAAGGAAGAAATATAGGTATATGCTATCACTGATTAAAGTTAAAAGTAGTAAAATATTGTTAAAGCTAGCAACATTAAAAAAAAATGTTATATTGACAATCTTCTTTTTTTATTTAAAGCAAAGAGAAGTATTTCGTACAAGCATCGAAATTTAAGTACCTAATTGTATACAGGTCATATTTCTCGTTTTCATTTACTCAATCAACTCAACAATAATGTAATGTCGAGTCATTGTACGAAATTCTTTCTCCCTGTTGAGCGACTGGGCTGTCAAAAAAGGGAGACAGTTTTTATGAAAAATATATAATATATATTTTTTAATATACCAGTATTATTTTAATGCTTATGGAGAAGTACCTCAAAACATTTTGAAAATCAAACAAATCGTTGCAGTTCGTCATTATATTTTATTCACTAAGTGTACACTATGTCAACGGAGTCCTAGGGCTCTTCCGTGGCTCCCAGCACGGCACCGCTATACGCCAGGTCCCAGTAGTGTTCTACACCATGTTTCTGGAACAGCTCTCTTGCCTGCTTCTCAGTAGGCAACACCTATAAATAAATATATACACATAAGGGCTCCAAATAAGGGCAATCTTCAACTTTTCTATGTACATCAAAAAAGAGTTTTATGTCAAACGACAATAACTATCGACTTTGAATATATTCATTATATTCATTCATAAATTAAATTGTCTTTGTTATATATGGGGGCGTCCATAAATTACGTGAGGTGTTTTTTAAATTTTCTGTCCCTCCCTCCCCCTCTGGTGAGATGTCGTGAGATTTTATTCAACCCCCTCCCCCATCCCCCAATCTCACGTGAGATTTTTCAAAATGCAATTTGATGAGTACTTGCGAGTATTTGCCTTGTTGTAGTATCGAGTATCGCTTTTGAAAGTATCGATACCTACTCGGTATCGAAAGTATCGTTCGAGCCCTACAAATATGGTGGTTTAACATTCAGTAGATGTATAGCGTCGAAGTATGAATGAAATTATTTTCTTTCGAACGAATTAGTGAATGATCTTAATCGTATACGATTACGCTTAAGATTAAATCTTAAGCATGTACAATCTAGATTAAATGGACCAAAATAGTATTTCTTTTTATGTTTCAATCAGAAAAAAAATTGCGTGATATTTGCCGAGACCCCCCCTCTCTCCAACGTAAGATTAGATGAGATTTGCCTCGACCCCCTCCCCCCTTAAACATCTCACGTAATTTATGGACGCCCCCTATGATTATAATGGTCTGACAAACTGTCACATTTCAATCTAGTGATGACTACAGATAACTTTTCTATAGATACTGTATGATGATTATTTTGTTTAAAACATAAAGAAGCTAATCTCAGTGGTGGGGTAGCTGGCGGGCGAGGAAACTGCGGCTACGCTATTGGTTCGTAGAAAGACACGTATTCCGTAGTTAAGGGAACTATAATGTGTTAAAGGCATGTCGATATTGTTCGATATTAAATGTTGCGTCATAAAAAATATATTTTTTCATTTAATTTTTATTTATTTGACAATTTATGACACTATAAACAAATCGACGGATAAGTCATCCAACGGCAAGGTGTACAAATACGTCTAAAATCACTTACCTACAATCACTCGGTGAAAATAACTTTCAAAAATCGATTTTGTACAAAGAAATTCGTTTAAATGACACATTTGACATTTCTCAGTCTCAACTTCAAAGTTATAAAGATATTATTTACAACAAGCTAGTTATGAATTGGTTCAATGTAATGTTTTATAAATAATTTGAAATATGTTTGGAGTGAGAGCGTATGATGGTAAAAGTCCGAAATGAATCATGGTCACATAACAGTTCGCACTTTAACCACTTTTATCGGTAAATATCAGATTGTCCTGGAAAATCTAAAAACTAACCTTACGGGCTATTATAGTACAATAACAGCTTAACACATATACTTTGTTCACCTTAAACTTGATGTCACCGAATGCCCTCTGTTTGGTAATCCCTTCCCAGACTAGATGGCAGGAGTTAGGTATGTCTGCACCTTCAGCGTCCTTCACCGTATCTTCCTCCCATTTGATGCGATGCAGCATCAGTCTACCACCAGATAAGATACATAATAACAACATATTATACTAGGTAAACACTAGTGATGCGCCGAATATTCGTTTGGTATTCGGTATCTTTATCACTGTTTGTATTCGGCGGAATTATTCTAATTTTCGTACCGAATATATTCGGTTCGGTGTCGATAAATTCGGTTCTTTGTCGAATATATTCAGTTCGAGTATTTCTGTTTTCTTGGCTACACGACACGGTATAGAACTAAAAAACAAAACTGCTTATGTCATATTTATGTTACATTATTATTATAAGTCAAAAAAATCCAATAAAGAATGTATTCAATAAAGTTAGTAAAAAAAATTAAAACTTAAATATTTATTCTTGAGGCTGTTTACGCGGCAAAGCAATGAAATGGTAAACCGAATAATACGGCCGAATATCCGTTTCGGAAAAGGTTAAACAGAATAGTATTCGGTATTCCTTTATTCGATAAAACCACTACTCTAGTATCTCTCATGTCTCTAGCAAATACCGTAATGAATATAATTTGGTCGCCGCGGCTTAAAATATTAATAAAAGAAAAGTTCAAAGTTTCTCAAGTGATTACAAGTTGCGGCCTGTTAATTTTTTATTTGGACTATAAATCGTACCGTTGGACAGCAAACAATTAATGAGAAAAAGGATGTCTTGTATGCAGTTTTATATTATTTATACCACAAAACTTAGTGCGCTCATCGATAAATATACCCCTTAATCAGATTCTGATAATAAAGTCACTAATCAGAGACGTTAACATAACATTTAACAACTCAACAAATTGTTTAAAGATGATTAACAAATCCTAAAGCACAAAAAGAGTTTTTGTAGTGTTTTATAATTATCACTTCGAACCCTAAGCTCGGAGTGGTACTTAATAATTTTGTTTATATATACGTCCCATTAAATGTGTTACCTCTTGTACTTGGCCTGTTGCCTGGGCCCCCCCTCCACAGCTATGACGCAGCAGCCGCGGTGCAGCACCACCACGCCGGTCATGTGCAGCTGCTGAGCGTTCACCTCCACCTTGAACTTGGCAGACGCGCACTCGAACAGATCGCGTACTCTAATAAATCATCATCATCATCAGACCAGTGGCCCAATTGTCTTATTTTAAAATCTATCACGTTGAATTTGACATTTGATAGATATACATGAACATCATACTAAAAGTATTTGAAATGTGATAGCAATTGCAATGGCGACGTTTTATTTGAAAAATATTGAATGAACGATAATTTGACATTAATCGGAATTGTCTATGCTAAGTGAGAGTTTATTTATTTCATTGCATTGCATACATATGACTTAGATACCAAATTCACAAATTTCAGTTAATAAGAGTAATATTGTGACGGGTTCGGTGCTTGGGTCAATTAATAAGGCTGATTAGTTTGAGTATAGATTTATTAATTGTAAAGGGGTAAATAAGAAACCCTTGTCGGGCTTCTAGTTAAACTCTTGGATCGTCTAAAATACAGATTACAATTTAGTTCATATGTTATATAATTTGTATCACAATATCACATTCTTTATCATAATCAATGAATTATTTTAAAATTACATAATAAAATTTACACATTTATACATTAATATTGTATAATAATTTTCATGTTGTGCATAGAAGAATTTCTTACGAACTGACATCCATAAAGAGTAAAATTGATTAGTCAAAATTTTAAATTACGAAAGACGAGTCATAAAATGAAATGATGTTGAATTTGAAAAACAAAAAGTTTGTATACTGAAGCCTAGGAAAACAAACGGTGGCATGGCACACCGTTACAATATTAATAATATTCACATGCTCCTCGACAGGCATGGAAATATAGAAAGATGGAAAGAAGAGGGTCAGGCATTCCATTTTATCTAAAAATTTTAATTCTAATATTCATTCACTGTATAATACTCGTAGCATTTATTTAATAGGATATTCTTTACCATTTTTATAAATCGATTATGTATTGTTTCGTTCTTTAGGTATTCAGGTAATTTATTATAAATTTTAATTGACATAAGTTCCCGAACTGTGTAAAATTAAGTTAGAAGCAATTTGGATTAGGTTATTTTTATAGCGTGGTGTATTATGACAAGGAACGTCTCCTTTTTTAGAATACATGTCAGGACGCTGGCGAACAAATTTACAAATTTGTCATATGTAGATACACGGTAGGGTAAGTATATTTAAATTTCTAAAAGTTTTTGAAAGCTATTAGGAAATGTGAAACGAAATGAAGTGTCTATGACATAGATTATTTAAATCTGATGATTTTGGTTCCGAAAGCGGTTGAGACTTTAAAAGCTACACAATCCCATAAACCTAGTGTTTATATGTTTAAATGGGATTAAAATAGATTTTAAAATAAGACAATTAGGCCACTGTTACGTTCCCACTGCACGGTCTCAGGCCTTCCTTATGGATGGTTAAGGAAGGCGGGATACGCTGGCTCTGTGCGTATTAGAGGGAATAAACGACTGCAAATGCAATTGGGATCAGCAACTTAATGTGCCTTCCGAAGCATGGAGTAGCTCGAGATAATAATTTTTTGGTCACCAATCCCGTGACCGACCTTTGCAATAGTTGCTTAACAATTACGTTCACGGGTCGCAGCGCTTATCCACTCTAATATAAACCAGCGAAATAATACAAGGTGAGAAAACCGGTCAAGTGCGAGTCTGACGTACGGACAAAGGGTTCTTGTTCTTTACCGTCTATACATAGAAAAAAGTTGCTTCCCGCTGTTTGTAGACTGAGATTTTTTACTACTAAAAGGGATTTAATGCTGTTTTCAACAATATACAAAGTACTTCAAGAGGAAGATTTACATGTATTATGATACAGGAACACGCGACTGCTGGTGGAAAGCTATTTATCTATAAAAATAACGTTTGTTTGTTGGAGCTCCCTTAAATATTTGTTTTATTCTGTCTATTTTATTTCCGTGAAAATCATTCTAACTTTACCGGTTCACAAAATAAAGCCTTTATACCTTCTAGGTACGGAGCCCTAAAAATAATTCTTAAAAAAATATAAAGGCGGGTAAAGAATTCAATAAAAAAATCGAATAGTAATAAGAAATTTGGAATTTGGCGCATTCGGTCAGCGATGCTAAATTTAAGCAACTTTCGCAATAGGATGGGTGACCAGAAATTTAACATATCGGTATTCGGGAGGCACGTGAGGCCATAGCTGATTAGCTGAAGGCAAGTTCTATAGCCTACACGAGGGACATTAATAAGCAAATGATTACGGTGACTAATCGATGGCATAGCTTTCGACTTTTAAAAGAATAAATAAATTAAAAAATATTGAATTTGAATATTACCTATATACAGATACATGTACACCCATTGACGTGTCTTCCCTAATTTTTCTGTCCACCTGAAAGTTAAAAAATAATACTGTTACATATGAAATTAAATAAGTATTGTATGTTGATGTTATAAATAATTTATAACCGGAAGTCCAAGTTTCTGAGAATCATCCTCTCCATACCTAGCTAGCCTTTTGTTAAAGGGAAAAACATCGACTACTACTGGCAGCACCAATTGTCGATTTCACTAGGGGCAGCCCTATCTCTCAGATAGCTGTCACTGTCATTTTGACTTGGACGTCATCAGTTTCGCGCTAATATGCTGGCGGGTTGTCATTCTTGTAAAACTATTGGAATCGGCATAGTGAAACTTTAACATCAGTGGTGTTACCTTTCGCTCACTTTTTTTAACACAATTAATTTAATAGTGGTCTGTGGTTAGATTCAATATGATTATGTTTAAATCATTGTTTATATAAATTTATTTCTTAATTAACGTATTAAAATCGTATTAAGTTGTTTTTGGTAAATCTATGCAGAAAGATAGAATTGGAATTCAAAATTGTTTTGTTGAATGAATGTATTTAAATCGTGTAATGGTCTCCTACGTGAAGTTGGCAGTAATGTGGTGTCGCAAAGTAAGTGCCATTAAAGTTAAGAAGAAGAAGAAGAAGAATCGGCATAGTGATTTTAAATATATTAATACATTAAATAAATATTATTTTTATTTCTGTTAGTGTTAAATATACTATTACCGATAATCACAATTTTATGCATATCTATACCTATTATATAAAACTTTTATAATATTGCTTAAACGAATTATGACGTAACACTATATTTACCTTTTCTCTTTTCTGTTCTTTTGTCAGTGCTCTCGCTTTATTTGCTTCTATGTGCGTCTTCTGCCTCTTAGCGATTTGTTCTCGAACTTTCGCTTCAATAGCTGTAGGATCTTGTACCGCCTCCGTGCCGAGAGCACGCATAAGGTTCGATATCCTGAAAACGATGGATTTAAGTTAAAACTAAACATATTACAAATAATATGTACGCCATGCTATAAAAAACTAGTAGTATTACTTGTACAAGTTCATTTTGGGCATCGCCTGCATCTTACAGTCGCGTTAAGGAGTTTATTCCCCGATGGAGGGCACTAAAAATTCTTCTATTATTATTGTATTGTCTATACAAAATAATAATATATTTTTAAATAAGCTTTAAGCTTTTAATAGAATACACCTTACCACAAAACAGACAAAAAGAGGCACCTACATGTGTGTTTATATAGCTAAATAGAGTATCTATGTATGTATGTATATCAGTATAGAAAACATTCATTTTGGCTTTGTATGACACCATTTATTTACTACCCATCTTTTTTGTAACCATCCAGCCTAACTTTCGGTTCCCTGGAAGATATTGCTTTTATTGTACTGTTGATATGGTTATAGTTAATTGTTATGTAGATTTTCTTTTCATGTACAATAAAGTGTTCATTCATTCGTTCATTCACCCACCTGAGCTTCGGCTCCGGCGGTGCTTCTAATCCCAAGCGGACCTTCTCCTGTTCCTCTTTCCACGCCTCCCTTCTACTCTGACGACGCAACTTTTTCCTCTCCTTCTTCGTTAGAAACACTGGCATGTAAGTCGGTTTCAGAGGTTCCGCTGAATAAAGAAAATATTATATTAAAAAAAAATTACATACAGCATTAAAGCTTTAATATGTTGATAGTTAAGTTGGACATCGATTTCAGTAGTTACCACCTAATCAAATGTTTTTTTTTCTTATAGACTATGTACACGTTTCACGCGAAGTTACGATAAAAATTATAGGAATTACCTACATTTTGTTGTAGTTTGTTTACAATAAAAGATCGTGACTTGGGTTGATTGTAGTATCTATACTAATATTACAATAGGTAATTTTTTTAACTTAGTTTGTAGAGGATAATCTACGAAAATACTGATCCGATCGTGAAAGTTCTTTCACCTACGGGAAGCTAAATCAAACGCGCAACATAGGCAGTAATAAATGTGGACGAAGTCACGGGAAAATAGCACAAGAACTATAAAAACTTTTGTCAGTAACATTACTTATGAATATAAGTAATGATCCTATCGAGTATTGCAGTGTAATCAACAGAATAAGAAATAAAAACACAATTATTATTCTACATAATCTTCGTTCTATAGTCTATAGTATGGTATAGACTCGCATTTTATCCAAACCCGTGTACGAGTGCGAGATCCGTGGCATTTACGGGACGGGAAAGCCATGAGATAAATCGTGAGCGATCGCTCGGTAACTGACAGACAAAATTACCAGTTCAGTTGGAAATGATAAGATTTATAGTTTAATTTAATAGTAATATATTGTGTAGGTGAAAGGTTTTTGATTCTTTTTTTTCGGTATCTATTTCAGTTTTCAGTGATAATAAATACCGGGATCTCGGCGGATTAAAATGCCCACAAATAGCGTGATTGAATAAATGCTGCGGGATTGGAAGTCCTATAATATAAATTAATATTAATTTTGGCAGAGCTGACTAACCAATTCCAACGATAATCGGATATACAATTAAAAAGTATAATTAGTCTTGCGTCATTCAAACATAAGGACATTTACCGCGCTTCTAAATTCATCCTTCTGAACAAGTACATCAGTAAGCCAAATTAGTTGTAACTTAGTACTTTTTCGTTACATTAACTATTCAAAAGTCACTATTGTACTTACTTGGTGGCCGCAGCTGCTGTGGATGTTCAACGAGATTGGTGACCGCTGCAAGATTCAGATTGTCAACTATATTATCTTCGCCAATGTTACAAGCGGCCACTCTCTGAGTGTCCGTACGATCATCCGTCCCGCTCGCACTTGACTGTCGCCGTTTCGCCTCTCGCTCTTCTGGCGTCATTAAGATTACACTGTCCCACCTGCAATAGTTACAATGAGTTAGTTAACTGTGAAATAATGCAGAAGTAATAGTAACTGTTGGCGCAGTGGTTAGCGCGCTCAATCTGGGATGCGTTTGTTAAGCAACTTTCTCAACGGTCAATAATAGGATGGGTGGCCAAAAATTTAATTTACTATCTCGATCTTCTCCGTGCTTCGGAAGGCACGTTGAGCCGTTGATGCAGGCTACACCTGCAGTTGTTAACACCCACCAATCCGCACTGGGCCCTAATGACCTATTCGATTCCATCCATAGGGAAGGCTTGAACCCCAGCAGTGGGGACATTGATATGCTGGCGATGATGAACAGCACGACTGCGTTTAATTGTTTCGGATTAAAGGTGCTATGTTTGTAGAATTGTTGCTAGTCGGCTGGAAACGCAAACAAATAAAAATTCAAGCCACGAAGTGACGTCATACCATGCAATAGTAGCGAAAAACGTGTAGGCGTCTGGGTAATCTTTGTAATATTTCCGATACTTGGTTAATTTTTTTTAAAGAAAGTAGTTACATATTATGTAACTAATTTGATGCAATATCTATTTTAGAAAATTATTGTAAATATTAAATTAATTATTAAATCCCTATTATCTTCAAGTCTTCAAAGCATAATATTTCAAATTAGTGTAATAAATGTAATATTTATAATTATAATTATTGTATTTGATAAATTTTGCATTCAAAATGATAAACAAAAAAATATTCTTAATGAAAAATGCTTCAAAATCCACTTTGTCACTGGCACTCTGAAATGGGAACTGAACCCACGACCCTTTTCAATCCATGCGACAGCTCTAACTACTAAGCTACCCAGGATCTAACAGGATTGACGAATATTTCAAGCACTTATTACTTTTTCGCTCCACCACCCAATCCCATCCAGAGTGCCAGGAGCAAGGTAGATTTTTTGGTTGGTGGGTAGCTCAGTGGTTATAGCAGTCACCCGGATTACGAACGTTCATGGGTTCGAATCCCATCTCAGAGTGCCACAGATAAGGTGGATTTTTAAACATTTTTCATTAAAAATATAAGTTAAAATGGTTCATAATTTCCGAACATATAACAGAGACCTTATTTTTATTATTATAATCTTACAACTGAACACAAACACAAGGGATATTATTATTAATGGCTAATTCAATAGTCGATAGGTCCCGTATACGGAATGTGGTCGATTACTGTGGGCCATTTCTTTGATAGAGCATTCCTTAATGTGTGTGTTAGTGTTTATTGCAATGTTTTATATATAATTTACAAAGATTTATCGCATCCCGCATGCGAGCCCCAACGGCTAGTGAAAATATAATAAATTTATTTAATTACCATTCAATGTCTGGCACTCTGTCCGAGTCTGGCGTGTCTGATGCCAATAATGCTAGTTTAGTTGCTGACGATATGCCAGTTTTTCTAGCTATCTGTGATATTTCATTTTGCAGCTTTTCTAGTTGAGCCTAAATAGAGAAAAATACATATAACAATACCATTAATACAAAAGCTTAGCCTTTTTATTATAAAACGAAAACTCAAGCTAGTAGGTGTACATAATATAGGTACTTGGTTTAAACAATTAACCGTCTAAAGAAAAATAATCACAAGAGTAAACACCGAATTCATACGTGTTGACTTATTTTGGTCGGGTAATAATGGAAACCTGTGGTCTAATTCTCTAATTTTAAAATTTATCGCAAACCCTTTCAAAGTTTGTGCTATTGTGACAGTAATTTATGTAATTATAGAGCTTTTAAAGTCACTTTTGGAACGAATGATGATTTGAATGATAAAGAAACATCAAAAACTTACCTAAATCCGTCAATATATCGTTCAATTTCAAATAGTTGTGCGTGAAGTTCGTGAAAATCTTTTGAAATGATAAACTGAAAGGGATTGCGGTAGAGTTTAAAATACACAATTAGTCGCCTGGTAACTAAATTTAGTCCTCATATTATAATAAGACGTTAACAGTGCTATTAATAATAAAGGTTTAGCGTCGTTGCAAATTTACGGTGAGACTGCACTTAGTATTAGTCTTTAGGTCAACTTTTGTAGAGAGCGTTATTATTTTATCAAAAAAAAAGAAAATAAGCTAAAGATCTAACACGTAATTCTAAGAGAGCATGATGCCTTGCATTTGTCTTTTAAAAGTAAGAAATTAACAGTAATGCTCAATCATTTTACAATGTAGTTTAGAGTTCGTAATGTAGTGTCGTTTGGTGTAGTGAATAGAATATGTATCATATCTTTATTCGTAGCGTCTCTGCTAGCTATCTGAACATAACGCGTCCATGGAAGTGCTCGAGTTTTGCGTTGGTTATAATAAAGTTTCATGAAGCGTTTAGTATGTAGCGTAATATTAAAATTTTAGTATAGTCTTTAGAACGGAATGTAGCTTTTGGAATGTAGTATATCATACCTTCTGTTGTTTTAAAAATTTATGGCCATTACATTAGAATGATAGTTTCTTGCAGGTAGCAATACCATGTATCTTATTTTTGTTGAGTTCCCGATATTTTACGCTGTTACAAGCGTCATGATCACGAATTTACTCCGTGACCTCAACAAAAACAAGGTACACGGTAGCATTCCCGCAAGAAACTATCATTCTAATATCATACCTTTACTACCGGCCCTTTCTGATAGCTAACTGAAGTTTTACTTTTTGAACTTAACTTAAACTTAACTTTTTTGAAGTTTGATGACGCGTTTAGAAAGTCGTGTAGCGTTTGGAATGTTCTGTAGTATTTAGAATGTAGTGTTGTAATTGGAATGTAGTACACCATACCTTCATTCGCAGCCTCTCCGCTAGTTGTCTGAACTTGCCAGGTTCGTGGAATCGCAGCGCCCTTTTCGCTCTAGTGGCGGGTTTAGTGGGTACGCGAGCGTCCACCCACGCGCCCGCGGTCGCATCGCGCGACTCCGCACCGGCTAACGGCGCTGCTAGAGTCGCGCGAAACTCTTCGCGACGTTTGGCGCGAATGTTAGCCTGTTTAAAGATCGCTTATGTCATCATAATCTGCCTATTAATGTCCCCAATTATGGCCAGGCCTTCACTATGGATGGATTAAGAGAACGAGCAATAACCCACCACGCGGGATGAGTGTGGATGTAAGAACTGCAAATGCCGCTTAGCACAGGGGCGTCGCCAGTCGATTGATCAGACGATGGGGCGGGGGGAAGTTGATTAGTGCCTTACATCTACGGCAATTTTAATAACAACAATACAGAGTCCAACTTGTAGTAGTAGAGCGTAGTTGAGTGAAGGAATAGAATTTGTAAGTTCATTGGAGTCTCGGCGTACAGAAATAATCGATCGAGGAATTCAAGTCAAGGAATTGCGGAATTTACATAAGGCAAATTATTGAAATCTCTAGGGAGGGGTGACGTTATCCGATAAATATTAAAATAGAAAGGCATCCATAATTATTAATGGATGCCTTATTTCAAAGAAAATGACCAAATAAAAATAATATTATTAAAATATTTACCTTAAGTGTGGGTGCGACATGTGTGAGTTGTACTCTCTTCCCTGTAGTGTCTATGGTTCGTCCCTCGCGATCCAATATGAGGGGAGCGGGTCCAGCAGACCCAGACGCGTTTAAAGCACCGCCTGTAACATAATTTTGTGGTTCGAAAGAATGTTATGAAATTCATAAATGTTTATTTTAAAGATACTATGGTTTGCTTTAAAACAACATTTTTATCAATAGAAGAAAAGTTATTTCTACGATTCTGTACCTCAAAAGATAAAAACGGAACCTATATGGGAACACTTGTGTCGTTGCGTTTTCATTTGGTTCATTTGATACTGGTGGCGTAGTGGATATGCACCGCGGACCACGATCGTTGTTGTAAAGCAATTTTGGCAATGGACGGTCACAGGATGGATGGGTGAAAATTTATTATCTTAAACTCATCGGTGCTTTGGAAGCCACGTTAAACCGTAGTGCATAAAGAGATAAAATTGCGTTCCGCAATCGTTGTTGCTAAGCAATTTTTATGGTCTTTGTCGGACACGGGATGGTTGACCAAAAAAATATTATCACATAATACTCCGATGGTTTTAGGAAAGCAATATATTGATGTCAATATTTTCTGTAAAACCTAGCATCCCTAGTAGGTAACTTGCATTACGTATTACGTCGAAGTCATATATACCTGCTAATTTCCTCTGTATCCTGGCTTGAAGCTCGGCTATTTTTCTTTGCTTCTCCAATTCCTCCGCAGAAATCGGGGCCGCCGCTGTTACAACCAATAACATAAAAAAAGTGTCAACATTTATGAAACTGCCATGGGAATTCTTTCTGCCATTGAGTATTGTATAGATGGAGGAATAACCGTTTGCTTTTGGAGGTTCTCGAATTGGAATACGTACATAAATAGGTATATTATCTTAATAAAAAATGCTTTAAAAAATCGAGTTTGTCCCTGTCACCCTGAGATGGGACTCAAAGCCAAAACATTTCGAAATCTGAGTGAGTGCTCTAACCATTGAGCTGCCCAGGACCTAACAGGACTGACAAATTTTTCAAGCACATGTTACTTTTTCGCTACTACAGAGCGTGTTTTCATCAATGTTCAGGCAATCCACCCAAACAGCAGTTAGAAATATTTTACATATTTATCAAAAGTTTAAATTTTTGATAAATATGTAAATTTGTTCTAATTATTATATCTAACAAATTTATACTGAAAAATATTCTTAATGAAATATTTATATGTATACGAGTATCTTCTCACAACCAACTAATTTTAGAGAAATGCCATTACAGTGTGGTAACATTTTTCACATAAATACTATAGAAAAAGTATTCTTTTTTGTAACCTCTTTTGAGAAGTTTGATGGTGAGGATGGTGATGTTTGATGGTGACATTTAGTCAGTAATTTGGTGATTGGCAAACAAGCATTTCAGACTCTTAGAGTTTTGGAAAATGTGTTATACTGTTAGTCCCACCTGCAACTATTGTTAATGCCCGGCACACTAAGTTGTTAACCGGCACATTAAGTTGCAACTAATATAGCACATCTTAATAGGCTAGTTGACTACTTTATATTTTATCTTATAATTAAATAGTTTATTATTATATGAGAAATAATGTAGAAGTAACAGAATGTCTGCAAATAATAGTTTCGGAGATATGACGCTATGTTTGTGGAACTGTTGTTAGACAGCCGAAATGTTTTATGTAACTAATTTAATGCCATACATATTTTAGTAAATTTATGTAATCTAGGTTTCCTTCGCTACTTTTTTCAAATTTTCAAAGCATAATATTTTGTCAAATATTTATAAGTTAAAATGGTATATATTTTCAGATCATTTTTTTTACTTGTAGGGCATGACCTTATTCTAAAGATGACTAAAATTTATTTGTCTTTGTTTCAATAACTTTAAGGTGTGTAAATACAAAGCATTAGATGTCCGCCTCTCAGGGTGATTAGGCTTGTGGTTATTATCAGATTGTGTGATGGCGTGATACTTGAATCATTCTGATTGATAGACATTTGTTGCACTTCGAAATTTATCTGTGTACAGATATCAATGAGCACCTAGATATTATATATGAAAGAAAACAAAAAGGAAAAAGAAGCTTCGCCAAACTATTGAGTTACCAATTAAGTAAAATTATCATCAAATACATACCATCCAATGCTTGAATTACACATTGACAGTGAGAGATATGATATTATTTTTGTAAGTACATTCATGATAACAATGAATTTTGTTTATGTATTTTGATTTTGCATATTAAACTTACCTGGTTTGGAATATAATGTTGGCTTGATAACACTGGGTGGTGGCATTACACTGTTCTGCAGTTGAGCTTTGAGTTGTGCCGCAGTAGCAGCAGCCACATTTACACCAGGCTTATGCTCACGCATATCGACTAGTGCACGTTTACGTTCTTCTATCTCTTTCTGTGCATTCGCCATCATTAGCTGAAAGTCATATACATTGGTCATCCATTGGACCAATTGTTTTTATACTAGAAATATGATTGTTATAAAAATTTTAATTCTTCTTGTCAGCCTAAGATATTTTAATGTAAGATTTTAGTCAATTCATGTACAGTCAACTGCATGTCAGGTAATATTAATATGGCAAATTTCTTCTCTTGATTTTAAAACATAATGTTTAAGGGTAGAGTTGAAAATCAATTTTGAAAATTTGACTTAGATGTTTCAGACATGAAAAACTGCTAATATAATGTCAATAAATGTTTTATTGGACCACCATAGCTCTCATAAATAAAAAATTATAATATAGCTTTAAAAAAAATAGAATTGTGCAAATCAATTCTAAAATTATTAATAAAATGATCGACATACACAATAAAAAATATGGTAGTGAAAGTTATAACCACCACTATTTTTCATAGTCAGTACAAAAGTCTGTAAAAAAATAAAGTGTTCTGACTTATTGAGATTTTGTTAAATTTACTGAGAGTAATACCTTTATCCTATCCGCACTGAGTACAGCTATCTTAGATCCAACAGTCTCTCCGTCAGGCATGACTGATGGCAGTGGTAAAGCTTCAATAGTGGCACCATTACCCAACTTTTTCTCCTTCTCATCATGTATAGGGGTTTTCTCTTCTTTCCGCGTCTCTTTCTGTTCATGTCTACTGTCCTTCTCATCATACCGGGATCTTTTACTTTCTTTGTCGCGATCTCCCTCATGTTTCCGCTTTTGTGTCTTTGATGTAGATATTAATTCTTGAGCAAGGGCCAAGACTTTGTCTGCTAATTTGCTTGCTTTTTTGGAGTCTATGTGGGCGGTAATTTTATCTATTATTTTACGACGCTCATATCTGAAAACAGGTTAATGCATTCAAAAAACATATTAATGCAGTCTTAAAGCAGTCAAATTGGAGCCTTGCAAAAGTTAATAGCTCTCATAACTATGTATAGTGAAAGTTGGTTGGAATGCAGCCTAACTTTAGTAAAAAATATTTCAAGAATTACTGACCCTCCACTTCTCATTTTGTTTTTGAAGCAATAATAAAAATATAATAAAGAAGAAGTTTTACCCGTTCGTCAGACAGGAGGACACGGTGGATAAAAGTGAATTATCAGATTTTCCAATAGTCCTATATATCGCTCTATCTAGTGATGAACGAAGGTCTTCCACCTCCCGGCGGGATAATTGCAAAGCCATGTCTGATATACAGCAAAAATAAAACGGAACAACCTTCGGTTTGATGACACTCGATAGAGGTTATATTTACATGACGCACATTCTTATTCACTTTTAAATCGGCAATGACACTGGAAATTAATTGACACACACTTTATTTTCAGCTTAAATTACATTTACATACGTAATATACTACTATTGCAACAAATTAATTTTGCGATTCCAATATCTTATTCACAGATTTCCAATATAACACAGATTATCAATATAACATTGCTTTTTTTTAAGGTTTTACCGGCCCTGGCTTCCATGGCTTTCCGCCGTTATAACACTGTAATCTTTGTTCACAGAGTACATTATATCATATTATAAAGTACTCTTTTATTATCATATTCTGTATTCGACGTCAATATCACAGACTTAGTAGGTCAATACTATCTACGGAGTATACCTTATGTTACAGAAAACTTTTGGTCGCTATGACAGATCCATCGCCATCTTTCATTCATTTCATTTTCATTTTACATGGAGAAGTTAATTTATTTACTTGACATTGGCAGAATTGTGCGAAATGCGCAGATAAGCCATTAATAAAAGAAGAAGAAGTAGTAGTTTAAGTCACATATTATTTATTTATTTATTTATTAGACACAATAACAGTTTACAAACCAAAACCAATACATTTATATAAAGACATTACTAGCAACAAGTAAGCTTGCAACCGATAACAATTGTGCACAGCATTCAAATATTATTATGTAAACATAAAATTCACAATTAATAATCCGATTTATTATGAATATATATACATAATTTAGATTAAAATGCAAGTTCAGAAATACATGATTGCAAATCATATACAAAATTAAATCAAAACAACATCATAAAAGCAAAACTTTGTTGGAATATGTCCACTTCAGTACTAATCTTATTATAATATAGTTTTAAGTATAAGTATGTATAAGTTACTCTATGACTTTTACCGCCCTATGCAGTATGTGTATAATAGTCATGGAGATAAAGTAAAAGAACTGGAGGCCAAACTCAGAACTATTGGTTGAAGCAAAGTTATTTGACCTCTATTGACCTGTCGTTGGACTCCTGGGTGGCTATGTCATAAATCTAAATTTTCCCGGAACCTGTACCGGTCATTGATGTTATTCGCTAATTTTATGTTTATAAACTTTTTGAGAATTGGTACTAATAGTATAGTTTTACACGTCACTAATTGCATAGGACTTGAAACTTTATTTATATATCAGAAATAAGATTGTACATTAAATATACTCTGAAATCCAATCCAATGTAACAAAAAACTTAAACAAAAGGGTTATTAAGCAATAACTACAATTAAATATAATCTATAATAAAAAATGGTACGCAAATATTATAATCAGAAGGCAGATACATAGCTGCAAATTAATAAAAATTATTAACTTTTTACCATCGTCATGTCAATCTCATTAATCAATAATCCAGACTTGCAATTTAATTTGTTGAATTATTATTAAAACCTATAAATTGTAAAATTATTTTCCACTATAGACCGTTTCACATAGAATGGATACGATGACATTTGTTAACAGTTGATGAATAAATATTATTCTCAAATCCTGTTTTATGTGTTGATCTCAAAACCGTTTATCTCTATTAGAAATAAACTCAATAACATCGAGTTTTTGTATCTAAAAACTTCAAACCCCAAACATCATCGTACCCATGTTATGTGAATAAGACACCGTAACTTTTTTTCTAAATTTCCCCATTGCTGTGGTAAATGGCATCCCCAAAAAATGGCAGCCCCGTGTGTGTCAATATTGCGAATGACAATTACTAATTTCGCCGACTCGAAAATTGTGATTCATATATAAACGTTTCTCGCTATCAAATCCTGAAAGAAAAAGAAATGTGTAGTCCTACGTTGCGGAAGCAAATGGCATCCTGGATGTTCTTTGATATTTCACAGGTGAGTCGTAAGTTACTATAATTGATGACTTGCTTGCATTTTATAGAAATAATGTTTTTAACGTAGAATTCTTAAATTTTTGATAATTTACAATAATATGGTATCTAAAGTAATATATGATTTAATTGTTTACAGTAGCATATTTCAGAAATTTTCTAATAAAAGCACACTTCACATTGTAAAATAAAAATAAACAAACACTAATATTGTGACCATGAAAAGAAGATAAAGGATAAGCAATAAAACTGAACTTAATATTTTTTATTTCACTTTTAGTTTTCCCAAGGATCTAATAAGGAGAAGTCAATGGCTATCGAGTGTCAAATAAAAAAATAAGTTTTATAAAACTGCAAAAATATGCAGTAATCATTTTGTGGCTACTGATTATATAATAGAGAATCGGTTAAAGCATACAACAATTCTTTTTTATTCTGATGTGGTAAGTAAAAGTCTATATTCTACTAATTAGGTACAAATTCTTAGGTAGCAAAAATAGAATACAAACTTGCGAGTGAAAACGCGAACTTGTGGCTCGACGTCCTTTTTAAGTACGCGTATTTAAGATGACATACAAGCGAAAAAGGTCGTCGAGCCACAAGTTCACGTTTGGAAGGAATAAAATATTTTTATTTTACTTAATGTAATATGTCATGAAAAAATGGTCTTGAAATATCTTAATTCCCTAATGGCAGGGTTTAGACAAAATAACCATAATTCGTTTTTTTTTTCCAGTCGGGACAATCTGATCTAAAAAGTGATGCATTTACCATGCCTTCTACACCTTCAACATCTCGTCGTAGGTTGTCCAATAGACTTGCTATGGTAACAATCAAATAGTATTTATTGTCATCAAAACTGTACTTTTTTAATCACATATAAATTAAATTTAAAAATAACATAATGTTGTTTTATTTTTATCTGAGAATGACAATTACATCTGAAAATGTAAGAGAAGAATGTGATATGTAAATCAGTAAATTGACTTAAAGGTGAAATATTTACTGGGTACTTATTTCATTTCAATTCGGTCGGAAGGAAAGTAAGCTGACAATCGTAGTCTGCAGTCTTGTAGATCACTTTGCATATTAGATCTACTCCGTGCTTTGGAAGGCACGTTAAGCAGTTTGTCCCGATTGTATCTGCAGTTGTAAAAACCCTCCAATCCGGAATGGACCCATTATAGGTACATTAATAGGCTGGTGATTATTAAGAAGAGTTTTTTGCCAACTTTAATTCCCACACTGCTTAGTTTTAATCAAACTCAAAAATTGTTATTTTTTAATTTGAGAACCCCCTAACGAGACTCATTAAATACTGTTATACGTACGACACAGTAAGGTTAGCAAAAGTTTTTTTAAATTTCCTTATTTGTCCCCCGAAAATAACCCTTATTTATAAAAACAAACTTAATAACTTTTTATATCTATGTTTGGGTCAAAGGATGACAAATTTTACAAGATTTGGTCCAGTAGATTCGGAAAAAAAAGGCTTTTTGTACGGAACTTTAATAAAGTCAATTTCATATTTGACGGAGAATCTAGATTAGATCTATTAATGTCATGTGTAAACTTTACATCTACCTAGGAAAATTTGATACTTTTTTTTGCCTTAATGTTCTACTCTTTAAACTTGTCTCCTTTATTTTGTAGTTGTGTGGACACCCTATTAGAAAGAGAGGAGGGGGACCTAAGGAATGAAATAGAAAACATTCAAGGTCAAATTTTTATGCTTCAAGTAGGTATGGAGGAGTTTGGTCTCCAGTTATTTCTTTAGCTTCATGATAATAGTAAACAAATCATAGAAAGCAAACAAACCAACTTTTTCTCTATGGAAAAAGTTGGTTTGTTGGGTTATTCGAGTTTGGTTTTAGGCAAAGAGAAAAATAATACTTTTAGGGTTGATTTTGTAACACTGTACACCGGTAGTCTATACTATTTGCTTGTGTTGAATAAACCAAAGAGTATTATAATATTGTAGTCTTTGAGTATTATGTTAAATAGTTCTCTTATTGGTCTGTGTGTTAATTTAAAAATAAACAGTTTGTTTATTTCACAGAACATAGTTTACTATGTCCAATTAATTAATGATGAGTTTGAAACCTTTGAATTAAATTAAGTTTTGTCACTTAATTACGTTATTAGCAGTATTAATAGGTAACAATCAGATTATCGATTTGCTTGTTGGTAGGAGAACCGCAAATAAATATAACCTCAAAATGTCTGATGATGAAGATGTAATTGTTGTAAAGAAGAGTAAGCAAGTCCATTATGGGTCGTTGGAAGAACAGGAGAAAGCTCGGCTGGCGGCCCTGGCCGCTGCCGTCAGGGAGGGCGCTGAAGACTCCGGTGGCAAAGAACTTGGAGATATACAAATTTCAAATGGTATGATACATATATCAAATATCTCTCTGTAATTGTTGTTTTTCAATGAATTTTGAAAAATATTTGCTTAATGAAAATTCTTATTGTTCTCACTAGAATATATGGAATTGGAAGAAGAAATGTCTAAAGACAAGAAGGCACTTTTAGAGGAGTTTGAACGGAGACGCAAAGCCAGACAGCTGAACGTATCCACGGATGATGATGAGGTGGGTGAATGAGTCTTACTGCTCATTACACAAACATCCATTATAGTTAAATGTGACATTACCAATACATATTTAGAAAATTTATTAGAGTTTAAAGTTGTCATTAAACTTTATTGGACATTGCACACTGGACGTTAGTGTAGCGAGATGTTAACAACCATTATATTTTGATTTATTTTGCATTCACAATGCCATACTGAAAATTATTCTTAATACAAAATGCTTACAAAAATTCACTTGGTCCCTGCCACCCTGAGATGCAAAATTAATCAAAATGTAATAATTAGAACAAAATACTCATCTTTATTGAAAGTTTCAATATTTGCAACAAAAATTTTTTTCGGCTGTTTGGGTGGTGCCTGAACATTGATGAGAATACTCTCTGTAGTAGCGAAAAGTAACAAGCGCTTGAAAGATTCGTCAGTCCTGTTAGGTCCTGGGTAGCTCAGTGGTTAGAGCAGTCGCCTGGATTGCGAAAGGTCATGGGTTCGATTCCCATCTCAGGGTGCCAGGGACCAAGTGGATTTTTTAAGCGTTTTCTATTAAGAATGTTAACAACCAATTTTTATTAACATACATACAGTTTGTTTACATATTAACCATGTATGGATGTTATCAGAGTGTATGTATAGAGTAGTTCATGATAAATAAATACTCAGAAATTGTCTAAGATTTTTTTGCATTGCACAATATAGTAATGTAGGTGTTACAATTAATTTTACTATATTGACTTCAGTAATATAAGAAATAAATATGCAATTCTTATCTGAAAAATGTTCACTGTAAAAATAACTCTATAAATATTTCTGTGATAATCCGTTCTGCATCAAATGGAAAAACACATTATTTATTAGAAAAAAAAAATCACTATTATATAACTACCAGATATAATGTGTTGTTTATGTATTTTTTTATAGGTCCGTAGGAGTTTGAGACAGTTAGGAGAGCCTGTGTGCCTCTTTGGTGAGGGTCCTGCGGAAAGAAGGGTACGCTTAAGAGATCTACTAAGCTAGTAAGTGTATATTTAAGTTCTTATCATCACTACACAGAAGATGCAATAGTTGAGTATATCATGTGAGAAAAATTAATGCAGTGGTACTTTGAATTTGGGATGTAACAATTATAGTAATATATTAGAATATGATATAGAATTTAATTCATTCAAACTATCAGGGAAAAATTAATAGAGGCATGCTATAGTCTGGACGAAACTTTTAATACATATTATGACATGAACAGATTGTCGGCATTTGAACAGATGTTAATGCTTTAAACTAAATTTGTAAGGGGTTCCTTACCTATTAAAAAAGCTTTATTGAGGTGCAGAAAAAATATAAATGCTAAAATAGTTATTATTTTGCTTCAAAGAAAAACTTTCAAATGATGACAGACCTTTGTGTCCAAGTGGTTGCACGCCTATTTCAGGGTATGACAGGGGTTTATCAGAGGTCATGGATTCGATTCCTGGTGGGATGAATATACAGAGTGAACTTTTCTGTATTATCTGGGGTTTGGGTTTTGTTGTACCTTTGTTTTCTCAGATGTTGTCTAATATTTATGGCAGAATATTTAATAGTCAATAATTTAATTTTCAGCCTTGGAGAAGATGCTATCCACAAGAAGATGGAAGAAGAAGAGGCTCGTATAGAGAGGGATAGAGGTAGGGAAGGTACCTGGTACCATGAGGGACCGCCAGAACTGAGGGATGCTAGAGTATGGATAGCGAGATACTCGCTGCCAAGAGCTAAAGAGAGGCAAGTATTTGATGGTCACCAAACATAGAGAATTTCGTACGTTGACCTTTTTGCTTAATAGATATCACAAACATTAAAGGTTCACTTCACTATGACGAAATTTCCTAGATGCATCCTGTACAAATGCATTAGCAATATGTTTTTGTACAAGTGAAACAGATATGTTATGTCAGGTTATTGGTAAATTCTTTCTAGTCTGCTAAAAAGTTTAATTTTGGTACTACATGAAATCAAATACACGTAATGTAAACATTTGGATATACTTAAAACTTATGTCTTAATAAATGAACTTATTAAGAGTATGTACCTGGTTCTAAACGTTTCTGAAATACCCAGGTATACACAGTTTCTTTAACCTATATTGTAGAACCTGTTTCGAAATGAACATACCCAGTTTACCGGATTCCTTCAAATAAGTTATTTAATATCACATTATTACCTACCACCACGGCAGATGCTCAGGCCTTATGGTTGGTTAAGGAGGATGGGCCATGAGCCTCTACGCTAGTCCAATGCGGACTGGATGGTATTAACTACTACAAATGCAGCCGGGACCAAAGGCCTAACGTGCCTTCCGAAGCATGGAGTAGCTCGAGATAATATTTTTTTTGTTCACCCCTCCCATGACCGACCCTTGCAAAAGATACTTAAAAACAACGTCGCGGGCGGCGGCGCTTGCCCACTACGCCACCGAGCTACTCTAGTACCTACCTACTTTAATTCAAATTACTCATTGTTGTGAGCAGACAAAGCTGGCAATGATCGTCCATGGTAAAATTATAAAAAGGAAAGATTTGTTTGTTTGTCTGCACTGTATAGGCTCCGAAAATTCTTTGCATACAGCACACGGGATTGACACAAGCTGTAATTTACGCGTGCGAAGGCGCGGGAAATCAGCTATTGATTGTAACAACATTTTCTTCCACAAACAGATTAAATAAAGCGCGCGAAGACTTGAAACAAGCGGGTAGCGTTCGAGCAGCTGCTAAGCAAGAGTCTCAACGAAGGGCGGCAGCTATGGCGATATATTGCAGCCAGGTAACTATACAGGAAAAGAGATCGAAGACTGCTCTTTTAGGGGTCGGACTAATGTTACAAAAACCGCTGTGATAAAAGACTATAAGAAAATTTATCTGGTAATTCTTTTTTCAATGGAATGAATAATTATTATTTCATTTTCCATTATCATTAATAAGAGTTTATATTAGTTTATTGTATATTTTTAAACCTACCATATCTTTTTTGGTTAATGAGGTTGGGTTATTATATTGGCAACATTCAAATTCGCATGGGCAAAACCTCGTAAATTTGTGTTTTATTTTTGTTATTTATTTGAAATAGGAAATAATTGATTTTTGTTTTTAGATTGGGGACACGCGACCAATAAGTTACTGCAGGTTTAGCGGCGACAGTAAAATGCTCATCACATCTAGCTGGTGATTATTTTATAACCAATTATTAAGCATAAGTTCATATAGTATAATCGACTCATCTTCGCGGCGGTATGTGTTGGTAATCCTTGTACATACACATATAGTGACTTAATGTGCGTGACTGTAGGCCGTCCATTAATCACGTGAGGCTCGAAGGGGAGGGGGGGAGAGGAAGGGAAGGGGTAATGTACAATTACTACACCCAAAAATAAATTACACGTGATATTAATATTTTAAATACACGTAACTCACGTGATATATTAATATCAGTTTGATGTTTCTAGTAGCGATCCTGAATAATAAGTTCAACAAACGAGTATTTACCAAATTATTTGTATTAAGTTGTTTTAGGAGCCCATATTATAACTAATTTTACAATAGTTAAAGCTCATCACAGATATAATTTATTATTTTTAATTTGTTGAAATTACTTAAGTAATTTGTATTCGTCTGTACCTCCATTTACCCACACATACCGACGCGCGCGCAATTGAATTGATTTTACTGACTACATTTCATGCATTCGTTCGTTCATTTTATTATTCCCTTCAGGTCTGGTCTCAGCAAAGTGTGGTCTGTACCGGATTGTACTCCGTTACAAGTACTCAAAGGGCACTCTTGCAACGTAAGCGCGGCCACGTTCCATCCTCACGCTAAAATACCGCAACACTTCCAAGATAAGGTAAAATTTTAAACCAGAGGTTCCCAAATATTTTTTTCTCGTAGACCCCCATCTGCTACATTTATATCATATTCCCAAAATTCGTCCAAAAAGTGAAGATCTAATGATGGAAATTGGTGTTGCGAGTGAGTTCCAACCCTAAATTCGCCTCTTCTATTTTTATTTCACGCCAATGTAGACCCCCGTTGAATCCCTCGTGGACCCCTGGGGGTCCAGCTGGACCACTTAGGGAATCACTACTTTAAACAGTTATGTCATCAATGGTCATGTGCCGCTTTGAAATCCGCGGATTTTCGAAGTAGGAGAAAGATCTGTAATCCTTAGTAGTAGAGAGATCGGTATCCGTATGCACATACGGATACAGATCCATTGATTTTTAAGCGGATCTTGGTTGGTTCTTTTATACATATATTTTTTTTATTAACGTCATATACGTTATATATTATATAATGACGTGATGGGTACTAAAATAGTATTAAATTGCATTTAAAATATTTCTTAAGTCACAAACTTGGCTCGTTTATTTTGTAAAAATCAAATATATATATCTATATATATTTTTCTAGAGTAATACCCCAAAAGGGAAGTTAGTAGTCATAACCCATTTCCTTTGATGCGTACTTCACCTCGCGCTTACACCGTTGAAACTGCTCGTGTCATATGGGCATCTTTTTTTTTTGCACCCTATAGCGAAAAGTTGAACTTTATTTTGAACTTCATTCTTTCTAAAATGTTTTTATGGAATACTAAAGCAAATATTCTATATTTTATGAAAATTTGCTTCATTTATCGAAAGTACACTTAAATAGATACCAAGATCGACACAAAGCTGATTAGGGCAAGAAAATATTTCCATTATGTGACTTATTTAAAATAGGAATATCTCTTAGAATTGTTTAGTAATAATAATGATATTAGTTATATATAATAATGTGCTTGTCGTTAATCATAATTTAAGGGTTTTATGAGCAACTTTGAAAAATTGTAGGAAACAAAAATAATTATAGTTCAGTTTGGTTACCATGGGTTCTTTCATACTAATGATTTTTCAGTTTATTCATGATTTTGACTGTTATAATCATAAATTATGTTATTTAAGAAATAAAACTTTCATTTCTGGCAATAATTTGTACTTTTGGTATAATTTCTATCGCTGCAAGGTGTTTAAAAGGGAAAAATTAAGTCGCAAATTTGGATGGACAGTGACAAAACTGACCGCCTAAAAATCATTAGGGTGCGTTTACAACAATTACTTGTGCGTACGAATTATTGAAAAAATAAAGATTATTTAGCTGTTTATTATTTTTATTAAGAAGCCCAAACAGTACAGTTTATCCAAACTTAGAAATTGAGTTGTTCCTAGAAATATAATTTTTAAAATGCTTTTATATGAAAATTAAACAAAAATACAATATTCATTGGAAAAAAAACTTCAGGCTTTCTAAAAGTTTAGTAACAAGGATAATGTTAATCTTAATTAAGTAACAATCCAGTAAAAAATGTCCAAAATTTTTTCAATAATTATTAACAACAATAGGTAACTTTAATTAACATATGGAGAACATATGTAATTGACAATCAGTCTTTTTTATTATTATTAGTCACAGATACCATAAGTAGGTATCAAATTGAACACATACGAGAAATGCCTTATTTAGGCAGTTTAAATTATTATACTTAGACATAAATATACGATCAGAAAAATATGAGATCCATGAATAGGACTAACCTAATCACTAAATATCAATTAGATAAAAAAAGAGATCCATGCGTCACAAAGTTAAACTAAATAGCACAAAAAATACACTCATCTCTAGGGAAATGATCATAAACACAATATTTGCAATTGTAACACCAGAATTGTGGATTTTGCAGTAAATATAAAATATCTTCAAGATTCATATTCATTGAAAAATGTGGAGGAGAAATGTATCTTGTATTTATGCCGCAACCAAAACAATTTTCGGCAATGACAAAGTGCGTTTCCGTCCAGGGCCACTTTAAAGCTAAGTCGATAATTCTCTTGTAATCATCAAAATGCAACGCATTATCGATCTCAGCGTAAATGATCATCATTTTTCACCACTAATTTTAATCTGTAACAAAAACATTAATTAAATTATTAATAATTTATGTCTAAGTAACTATGCCTACCATTTATATTTTATACAAATAACGTTTTATGCTAGTTTTAATAATATCCACCTTCGAAGCACTTTTCACATATATAATCAAATTCTATAGGACCGTCGACACATTCCTCACAAAACCATTTTTGGCAAGCCATACATTTGGCTTTTCTATCTAATATTGTACATGTACACTTCTGGCATTCAATGAAACCCTTTTTTTTACTTGTACTATAATTTTTGATCAAATTACTATCATTTATCGTATTATCGGTTACTTCGGGCTTAGTCTCGTCTTTTTTGTCTGGTAATATAATCATTGGTAATATTTCTATATCATTCAGATCGACAAGTTTCTCAAAGTCTTCGGGGTCAGCAATATTAATATTATTGAAAGAATCTAAATCAGAGGGTATTAATGAACCTATCTCAAGTAAAAGTTCCTTCCCACTATTATCATTAGAATAAGATTGATTGTTCTTGAAAACCATTGATAGCCTACTTTGTTCAGGAGATGTTTGTTCTTCAGGGGAGATGATAGAAGGTTTATGTCGAGAAGGCAGCAAATGAAGAGTTTTTTGCGGTTCGAAGATTTTGGAAAAGTTGTTGGAAGATTGGCGGTTCTTTAAAATCGGAGTAGATGTAAATTGCTGAGGTTTAACATTTTCTGAAAAATTGACTCTTTTGTTGGAAGATTTACGTATTTTAGAAATTGGAATAGATGTATGCTGAGTTTCAACTTTTTCTGGAAGATGGGCTCTTTTGTTGTAATCTTGTTGTTTGTTAGAAATATGTGTAGTGGTAGAAATCTGAGCTTCAACAATTTCTTTAAGATAGATTATTTTATTGGAAGATTGGCGTTTTTTAGCAATTGAAGTAGATGTAGAGGATTGAGGATCGAAATTTTGTGAAAGATTGGTTCTTTTGTTGGAAGAGAGGCATTTTCTAGTAGTCATAGTGTTATGTAACTGGGGTGAATAGCATTCACATTGGCCACGAACAGGTCCACAGAAACAACTAATATTACGGGACTTTATTGTTGTCTGGTCTTTTTGTGTGACAACTTGATGGATTTGAAGAGTTCCTTTCAGCGGCGGAACGGTATTAGGAAAAATTTCCGTTATTTCATCTATATCACTTTCTTTAATAAGGAAAACCTTTGTTACTTTTAGACACTCATTCAAAATATTGTGTGCATCTTCGGCATCTGCTACGTCAATTCCTTGGCTAACTTTTCTGTCTAAAGTTCTTTTTACACAACTTCCTGTACCATCGGCAACGCTCTTTCCATGGCCAGATTCGAAATATGACCAGGTTGCATAATCAAATCCAAGTTTTTTTGTAAATTCGGTTAGCAAATAAAAATTATTTTTCTGTCGGTACTGGGAAGATGGTCCATCTGTGTAAAAATGGAGTATCGTGGAGTAATGGACATTTGGTGTTTTATTTTTAATGATATTTATTATTGGACTTAAATGTGCCCAGATAGCGGCTGGGCGATGATTATTTGATTCCGATATAGTACAAAATGATTGAGATTCATCTTTCCAAAAAACCATGCCAGTATGTAATGTTATTTGGTTTTTTGAAGCGCCAAAATGCAAGGATTGGACCTCATTTGCTAATGTTGCCTCATAGTTCTCAGAAAAGTCACAAACTATGACAACTTCATTATCTTTTTGATTCGATACAGCAATCTGGTACTGGTTTTGTTGGTGTAGCATGTTAAAGTAGTGCTTTTTAAATTTATGTAAGTCTTTTTCGAAATTATTTTTCAGTTCCTGTAAATTTCCTGTTATTATTACTTTTGCTGTTTTTTTAGTTGTGATTTCTTTTATGTTCTTCCATTTTTGTGTAAACATGGTCTACACGTTTCCATTGGAACCAAGACACATTTTTATCTGGACATTGTTCATAAAAAGGGTTTCAGATCACTGCAAATCGTGCATTTATCGTACATGCAACAGTAGTTTTTTATATCGCAGGATATGCTATCCAACACATTTCTTATTGTCCCAGTTTTCAATGCTCCAGCCTTCTTTAAAGCATTGTGCTGAAATTCTATATTGCTATGTTTAATACATAAGCAAGTGTCCCTGGAAGTTAGACGTGGAGCAATGACGTAGAATGGTTTGTACTTAATGAAAGTAGATAGTCCGTATCGTCCACCTTCCTTTCTGTACTTGTTAAATAGGTTCACTATGTTATCAGATAGGTATCTTATTTGTTTTTTTATTTTTTTTCTTGTCCTAGTTTCCTTTCGTCCAGCTGTATTGCGACTTACGTCACCTCTTAAATAAAAATTTGTAATTTCCGGTATATTCGGACGCTTAAATATTTTTTTTCTTTTCCTTAGGTTTACAAATTAAGCCCAGCTTATTTGAAACATAGGTTTTATTTTCGGCATTATGCACCAGTTGACGTAATATTTTCTTTTTCTGCTATTTTTATAAGTTCGTTTTAATGTACTTCATTTCGAGTCTTTAAATTTTTGATCAAATGTTGGTATCTGCGGCATTTTGTGACTAGTACTCATTGTACATTTATTGTGGTATCTTTTAATATTTTTTTCTTTCATCGCTGCGTCTGTCTCTATTTCAGGATTCGATGTCTCATTTGGTAAGCTATTTTTACATTTTTTGTTTCGAGCTTTACTCTTTCTTTTTTGTTCTCGCCATGTCTGTCTTTGTGCTTTTGCTTCTTCTAAAGACATTTCTGAAATCTTTCTTTTCTTTGATTTTATTTTTTGTAAATTTCTCTGACATTTAGCAGCATATTCTTCAGGGCGGTCCCTTTTAAGCTTTTCTCTATATCTTCTAGTTTTTTCGGCGCCACTGAGAGGCATTATGTCTATGAAAATAATAATAATTTGTGTTAACAAAGTTAACTTTGATGGATTTTTATGTAACTAGGAATATTAATTATATTTTAATGTGTTGATTAGGTTTTTCGAAAAATAATTTCATTTTGCATAAAATTTTACATTAGAATAAATTAGAATTAATAAGATAATCATATATACCAAGAAATAATACAAAATATAAGATACTGAATAGAGCCTCAATCTTAACTTTCAAGAGGTGAGGATTTTCTGTGAACTGTGCTTTATGCTTTCCGCCAGTAGTGACTTTCCATTCCACCTTATACGTGACCAGAGATATGGTCACCAAATGGAAGTCACATTTGATTACTCTCTTTGAAAAAAAAAATTATAAAATTAACAGTCATAGGTAACAGTATAAATTCATATGGCGCAGATTGCTAAAGTTATACTTAACGTACATGACTAAAAGAAATACAATACCTAAACATTTATTATCATAAATCCAGTCACTTACCTGAACGAAATTTCCTGTAGTCTAGAGAAACTCGGCCAACACAACCGTTTTTTTCGCTCACCGGCAGATACTAAAATGTAAATGACGTTCCGCTGACATAAGGGTTAAGTAATGTTGTCGTTAATTTAAAATCTTACCAAATTGGAGTTTTCACACGAAGTAAATTAAAGTCACTTAACGGAAAATTCCGGTCAGCGTCAATATTTTGATTATCATTTGAAAATTTATTTTGCTGTTCCCAAAACTTTAAATTATTTTACCGTTAAATTTATTATGGATTAAAAGAAAATAAAAAATATATTATACCACTTTAATATATTCTGATGGATTTTTCCATTGACACTTACAATCTTAAATCTATAGAAACATCAGAAATAAATGTTAAATCCGAGGGACATAGCAAAAACGAAGGGGGAGTAAAAAAAAAAAGATGCCCATATATGTATGCGGCGTGCGAGAAAGGGATAGTCACTGGGTAAGAAAGGAACGGGTAGCTGATATCACAGCTACAATGATCTAGGTCCCAACCTAGAACATTCTAGATGTGGTGTCGGCTTCTGTGAATACGCGGTGGACTACCCGTCCCGTTCTTTCAGTGACCAGTGAACTGACAAACGAAAGCGAATATTAGTGAAATGAACTATCGAATGGTGTCGGGACGATCGAATCGTGTTGTGAAGCGAGACAGAGCCAAACGTGAATTGTGAAGTTGAAGAAGTGTGGATTTTGTTGTTCCATTATTTTTATAATTTGAATAAGTAAAATATAGTCGAATTATTGGCGTTGGATTGGATTGGCGTTGATTGTTATCAAACTTAGGCTCATTAAAATTAAGTAAGAATTGAAAGGAAGTTAAAGTGCGTATCTTTATTAACGGATCTATACATAACAATACGTACTCATATCCGTATGTTCTTTTAAACATATTGATGTATTTCACATCACACCAGTCGTCGTTACTTTAAAAGTTAGTGTAATAATAATCTAAAATATTGCCAAAATTATTTTCAATTTAGATTAATAATTCCGAAGAAAAAGAAGCACAGGTCACTGAGCCAATGGAGACATCTGAAGGTTCTGCATGCACTATGGCCTCTTGTGCTTACGATGGATCCGTTTATCTGTGGAACTTCAACAGGTCGGTATTGTAGTTAGAATAATTTTATATTTAGATACTTGATAGTTATAACAATAAATGATGGAATATGATGTAAATGGTATTTAAAATAAATTTTAGTTTGCAAAATGGACTTGCCATTTATAATCTGTGGATTACAAGAACGGAAACGCGGGCGGCCATGATGGAGCATCGTGTGACGTCACATTTCAATAAACTAAAAGTCAACATCTCTTTGTGATTGTGTGAAAAATAAAGTTATTTTAAACGGTTACAGCGCGTTTGTATTTGCTTTCATGACGTTTCAGACATTTGCTTTCAGACCCCTTACAGGTTCCGTGTTCACTTAAGAGTAATTATTATTAACAAACGCACTGAAACCGTTTAAAATTATAACGTATAAAATGTGCGCGTGAAAATATAAGAAATAAGTATATTATTTGTGTGTTTTAGTGAAGCTCCTATAGCGTCTTTGGACGGGCACGGTCCGTCACGCGTGTCCCGGGTCGAGTTTCATCCCTCGGGACGTTTCTTGGCCGCCACAGTGTTTGATAATTCATGGCGTTTATGGGATTTGGAGACTGGTGAGTGAAGGAATATTTTAGGAAACATTACAGTTCAAATAAATGATGATTAAAATTTGTATTGTATAAAACTAAGTCGAATTACGTCTGTCTGTCCCCCTGTATGCTTTAATCTTTAAAACTACGCAACGGATTTTTTAATGCGGTTTTTCTAGATAGGGAGATTCAAAAGGATGGTTTTTACGTATAATACAGGATCACACCGGGCGTAGCCACTGGCGGAAATCTAGTAAAGTCAAAGTCAAAATAATCTTTATTCAAATAGACTTCTTAAAAGTACTTTTGAATCGTCCAACATTTTTTTCCCTAACACTCGTTCAGGACGATTTTGGCTGATAAAAAGAATTAGCAAGGAACTCTAATGCTCTAATAAGAGTAATGACATTTACAAAAACTATGTCATTACCAGATCAATACATTATAAACACAGAGAGAGAAAAAAATTAATATAGTAGTAAATACTTATACACTGGTTTTTAATTTGATGAACTAAACTGTCAATTCATTTCACACTTATTTTTTTTAACGTTGCAGGCTTTAAAAATCAATAAAATGATTCAATACTCTGTTCTGTGATATAGATATCGATTATTTTATGACGACGACGATATAAGAAAGATAAATTAAACAACCCAATGAAGACATTAATAATCATATGACGATTAATATCCGTCAGGTAGATTGTTGAAAAATATTATACACGTATTTTTTTATTTTTTCCGTAATCATTAAATAACGGTGATACATTGAGTTAAAATGTCGCATGACGTCACGCTTTTGTACATTTTCTACAAAACTGTGACGTAACGAGCCCCCACTCCTCAACTTTAATATCTGTTATCTTAGCTTTTTCTTGTTAAATTGAAGCAAAAAAGATACGCATCTAATATTTCTGTATTATTTGACTGACGGACTAAATAGAATTTTTTTTAGCCTTTTTTCTTAATTTTCTTTTTTTTAGCAAAGCGTTTGCTAACTGCAGTCTTTCGACGAGTGTAACTAAGTTTTAATTAAGTTTCTTGATACTCTTAAAAGGTTTCTTTTGGAACGGTTGCAATAATATATTTTATAATATAACATATTATATAAATTTTGAAAAAAGTATTGATTTTAATAATTGCAACTTTAAAAGTTACGTAGTACCATAAAGTGCTTCATAATTACTATAACTATGAAAGGGATTGTGATTTATTTATTAATGTTATTGTTATTTTGTATTGTAGCAACTGAAGTGCTGCATCAAGAGGGGCACGCTAAACCTGTCTATTGTATAGCTTTTCAAGGAGACGGATCGTTAGCTGTTACTGGGTGAGCGCCTTATTATTCATACTTATATTATTACAGCCAGTTGCACAAACTTTCACAAAATGTGTAATTAGTTTAAAGCGACATTAGCCATACAAATTTGGCATTCATTAGAGCTTAAAGGCGTCATTAAACCTTAATGGACGTTTGTGCAACTGACCGTGAAGCCAAAAGTAAATCTATTCACGCCTAACGCTCCTGACCAATTTTTAATATTTGTTACGCTGATAGAGTGGACCTTGGCATATTACATAGGATAGTCTTAATCGCGAAAAATAGACTCGAAAGAGGTTGAATATATGTATGAAAAAGGGCGATAAAAACCGAATTGTACACAACCGAAACCGCGGGCGGGAAGTAGTATATAATAAAAGTTTTATAATATTTTTCCCAAATTACTCAAGTGTGTAAAAGACTAACAAATATTTTTTTAAAATGAGATATGATATTACCACACCTTGTCTAAATAATAGCCACGTGTGATTGTAAAAAAGAAATAAATATATTATTTATAAATTATTGAAATATTTATGATTAATCTCCAAACTATTATTATAAATATTTCAATAATATTCAGTTTGTTAATTGCAAGAATTTTCAAAAAAATAAAGGTCAATTTATATTGAGGTATATGAAAAATATTATAAATATAAAAAAATAATAACATTTGCTTTGTAAGAATGCGATAACAAAAGGAATGGACGATTTTTTAAAACATCGTCATAACTAATTAGACATATTTATTTTTAACTAGCTGACCCAGTGAACTTCATACCGCCAAATACCCGATTTTGGCGATTCATTATGTATATATTATATATAAATCACGTTTAATTATTGTGGAAATCATAATAGCAGTTGCTATTCCCAACCCAACTCAATAAGTGTACTCTTCAACCAGTGTTTATTTGTAGAACACAATACGGGTGTAGCTAGTAAACAGAAATAAATACATATTTTTTCTGGTAGATATTAATTACCCATAAGCACACTTTTATGCTTATTATCTTTATAATATTGCTTATTGTGAATTAACAAATATTTTATATTAGTTGTCACGTGACCGCAAACAGCGCGCAACGGCACGCCCCTCTTACTCATGACAGTACCTACTTAGAGAATTAAACTTTATGCATACATACATAGTTTTAAAGGGGCTTCAGGACAGAAGAGACGTGTTCGCGGCAAATTTTGAAAATTAAATTAACTATTGTATTTGATCAATTTTGTATTCATTATGCTATACTGAAAAATATCCTAAATTAAAAGTTCAGTGGTTAGAGCAGCCGCCTGGATATTTCTTTCGGCTGTTTGGGAGGATTGCCTGAACATTGATGAAAATAAACTCAAAGTGATGAAAAATTCGTCAGTCCTGTTAAACCTTGGGTAGCTCAGTGGTTAGAGCGGTCGCCCGGATTGCGAAAGATTATGGATTTTTATCCTATCTCAGAGTACGTCAATTTTTTTAAAGTTGTTTACACCCCTATTATATTACGTCACCAAAATGGCCGCCAGGCACATTAGCAATATGTGGTATAATCATCACAATATGTGCTATTATAGCGGTATGGACGCGTTCGGTCGCGTTTGGGACATGCGCACCGGCCGCTGTGTAATGTTCCTGGAGGGTCACCTGGGGCCGGTTCTGGGGGTGGACTGGGCACCTAACGCCCACCAACTGGTCACCGCCGCCGCAGACCATCAGGTGAGTACCACACTTAAAGGGTCAGCGGCAAAATCTTTTGCCATTGTCAAAATTACACTCTTTAATAGGGTTGTTTCGGTAGTGAAAAATAAGAAAATATTTTGTAATATTTAAAGAGATTTTCAGAGTCATACAGCCAGTTGCACAAACGTCTATTAAATTATCATTAGTATAAAGCGACATTACCCATACAAATTTGACATACATTAGAACTTTAAGGCGCGATTAAACCTTAATAAACGTTTGTGCAACTTACCAATAAAATCGCATGATTATCTTATTTTCTTAAAATTAAAAGTCGATATTTTTTGTACCTAGTCCTGCCATAAATACTGTTACAAATGAAAGTGGACTAATTTTTTTTTCTTTACTTTTATATAAATGTAAGTGTTATGTACACAAGAAAATACTCTAAACAATTGTTTTACATAAAATTTTATTAAAAGTGAGCACCCTTAGCGTTTACATAAGTTTTTAAACGTACCGGCCAGTCGTCAATACTTTTATGTACGACACCCATAGGGAAGTTGGCCACTGCTGGCTCCAGTGATCTCTTGAGAGATTCCAAATTGTGGTGTCTCTTAGAGCAGGAAATGTCCTCTAAGACATACCACAATTTGTAATCTAATAGGTTTAGATTTGGACTGGAGGAGGGCCAATCATCGGCTTTGATTAGTCTTAAATAAACAACGCCTATTTATTATACATCAAATTCTTAGATGGCGCTTTTCATCGTAATCAAACGTTAGATGGCACTGTTCTCGTTTTATTGACATCATTTAATCTACTACTCTGTGCATCTGTTTTGTATACGTATGTGATTGACGTCATGAATATGTTGGGCAACGTTTTCGTGGGTATAATATAAGTTTCAATTATGATTTAATTTTAAGGCAAGAAAATTCGTTTATTTTCCGAAATATTTTTTTTATTTAAATTAAAATTAACATTTACAAGTTCTATTCCACCTACTTTTAGTTTTATTTTAGAAAATATTGGAACCAATCGTCTGAAAATACAAAAGAAAATTAACAAAAGTAGTTTGGCCCTAAAAATCATTTACGAATTCAACTTTATTACCCTTTAAATAAATGTCAACGTCATTTTTAAAAACAGCTAATTAGTCATTGTGGACCGTGGAGTTACGCGCCAATATTACCAATTAATCAGTTACAGATTGTGTTGATAGCAGGAAGGACGTCCGCTACAGTTTTTTAGAACAATATTGAGCTGATATATAGGTAACTGCATTGTGTTTGGTTTTATATTTCTTTTCGTTTTCAGGCTAAAATCTGGGAATTGAGGCAACGATCTATTTTATATACGATACCGGCGCATACGCATTTGATAAGTGGTGAGTAAAGATAGTAGAGTGAGTGTATGATAGGAAAAAAAATGTTTGAACTAGAAGGACTCGGAGAGTATAAAAATTAAATTAATCAAAAATAATTTGAATATCAGTTTAATAATAAAATATCAGAGTGTTAAAATACCATAAACCCTATTCGTTTAATCCGCATATATTAGAAAAGAAATTGCGTAAGGTCGTGGGTCGAGTACCATTTCAGAGCGCCAGGGGCAAATTGGATATTTTTAAGCATTAAGAATATTTTGTCTTTGGAATTCATATTAAACTACATAATTGTAGTTTTCTCATTATTAATTACAGCTTTTGGACTATATTTCTTTGTAAAAAAAACCGGTTGAAAGTTTGTATACGCCCTCTTAACTACTAGATATTTTGACATGTGCTTCTTTGCTTCATCTTTATGACATTTTTTAATTAATTAAAACAGGAAATGCAGTTTTTCACTCGATTTAATGAGAGTTATTAGTAGTGGTCGGAATTAGGTAGAGTTATTCATGTACTTACACTGATTTCATACAGCGAAAGAGTAAAGTGGATATGCCTCAAATCCCGAGATTAATTTTAAAGAGCAGAAAAAATCGCGTGATTTTTTAAATAAAAAGTTATTTACTTTTACACAATTGAAACTACTGCACGCACGACGTTGCCAAACTTACATCAATGACATCGGATGTCCAAAGTTACAAAATACCAATACGCGCGATGTTGCCACATTTGTAGGGAAGGTCCACATTAATATCAACATTTCGATGCAAGTACATAAATAACTACCTAATTCCGACCTCTCGTTATTAGACATTTTCCAATTACTTTATTGAACTGCTCTATAAACGCTGTACGGAGTGGTTCGCACACCGGTTGGATTCCCGGTCGGAATGTAGAAAATGTAATTTTCTATATTATCCAGGGGCTGGATGTTGTAGTACCTTCGTTGTCTCACATACGATTGCTTGAGCTTTGAATCTTGAAATCTGAGGTAATTGTCTAATTTCAAAATCTATCGCAAGCCCTATAAAATAGGTATTATGGAATTATGTAACTTTAAAGTCGCAATAACTGATGATATAGCTGACGATTTGATGACGAATAAATATAATAAAAACTTAATTAAACTCGGCAAAAGATGCAGTTAGCATTCAACTCTTTCATTTCATATTTCTCAATAGCTTCAAAGATATTTACATCTAACACTTGGCTTAGATATCGAGTTGTGCTATTGCACAACTAATTATAGAAAAAGAAAGATGTTTCTTTCTAAAAAAGTTGGCCGTTGCAGTTGCTATCACAAGTTATAGTGTAGCGTATAAATTTTAGAATTTGGAAGGCTCCTGGGGTCTTATTGACTGGTTTTAAAATCTATCGCCCTTAAATTTGACATTTAAAACATATTCATGAACTAATCACTACTTCTATTTGACAATTATAAAGATTACGATCGCTGCGTTTCTTTTAAAGACATGGAATTGGAAATATTTAAATTGTCTTTCAAGTTTTAGATGGAAATATATTTGAAAGCTATTGAAAAAAGTTAAACGAAAGAGTTATAATAACTGGAATATTTCGACGGATTTAGGTAAGTTTTTATTTTGTCTCTTTATCACTAAAATCAAAAGCGATCGCGTTTTTTAAAGTAAAATGATTCCATAAATCGCTGTACCCTTGAAAATTATTAGCAAATATTTTGAAATTAGCCCGCTGATTAGTGTATGTGATGTACTCTAATATTTATATATTTATGTTCAGACGTCAGGTATCAGCGTAGTAACGGTCATTTCTTGGTGACGTCATCGTACGACCGCGCCGCCAAACTGTGGGCGAGTCCCGCCTGGCATCCGCTGAGGACATTAGCGGGACACGACAATAAGGTAAAAACATGTTCTTTATTTACATAAACTTATTGTTAACTATAATCATCTGATTATATAAGATACCGTATCTGTAATACCGATAAATCTTTATAGGATCACTAGTGTTTCTGTCTGTCTGTTCATTAAAGTCGAAGTTGACGAAAATACGGTTGCTCTCTTTAACATGACTACAATTTTACGGTTGCTCTCTATGACATGACTAAAACTTTTGTGTTGATGTATTACAAGCATTATTTTGTTTTGTTTTGATTATTAAGTTTTTATCAAGATAAAACTTATTATTATAATAGTTTTTAATCTAATGTATTTTTTTTTTTATTAAAAAGAATGATTAATATTTTTATCGATTTCGTATTCACAATGCTACACAGGATAATATTATTAATGAAAAATGCTTGAAATAAGCACTTTGTCCCTGGTATTATGAAAAGGTAATGGGTTCAAATCCCAGAGTACCAGAGAAAGAAGGGAATTTTTAAGCATTTTTCATTAAGTATTATTAATAAGTTAAAAATGACAACTTTGCACAACGTTTCATTCCAGCCAGGTATCATGTTAATTCAATTTATTTTCCTCCATATGATTTTTCTATGATTTAGCCATTCTTTTTGCCATATATTGTCGATGATTTTTATCTGTCAAGTCCGCTTTCTTGCTTTCTTCGCTTATAGAGGGCGTTGTGCAAGTACTTAAACGTCGCGAGTAGTAGAGCGTAATATACTTGGTACTTACAATAGACAACTTGATAAAACCGTTGTTTATTTACACACAGTTCTGCAGGCCAATTTTAAATTTTTAAAAAGTAATAATCGTAACCCAATAGAATTTTAACGACTTGTATTTTACCATTGTATTATCTACACGCGAATTCGAATACGGAAAAGAAATAATACAAAATATTAGCGGCCAGCATTGACCATAAACCGTCCGGAGAGTAAACTTACCTATGATATGTGCACGGACGTTACAGTACCTAGTCTTACCTAGGTGAAAGATATGCAATGGCAAAATGCGACTAGTTAAGATTGTATTGAGCGATTATTACAAAAACAACAGAATTGGCATGCTTTTCAAGTCTTTTCAATGTAACTTTCATTTCGAGTGAAAAAGATAAAACTGTGTATAAAACTATACAACTCTTAGACATTGCTTATAAGTAATGTCGTTAGAACGCTACACTCTAGTCACGTGACTTATAATGGTGAATAAAAGATAAATTGTTTTGTTTTTCTCTCTATTAACAGGTAATGAGCACGGATATATCATACGACAACAAGTACATAGCGACTTGCTCCTTCGACAGGACGTTTAAGTTATGGGCGCCTGATCTATCTTAGTGTTGATGTAAATAATTAGTTATAAGTGTAATATTTTTTGCCAATAAAGATTTATTTAAATATAATTTTGTTTTGTCATTACTATGTTGTGGAGTGGAGCTCGATGGCGTAGTGGTTGTTAAGTAACTTTCGCAAGGACCGATCATAGGATGGGTGACCAAATATCTTCTTCGTACTTCGGACGGCACGTTAATCCGTTGGTCCCGGCTGCGTCTGTAGTTAACACCAATTCGCTTTGGGCCTGCGTGGTGAGGGTCATGACTCATTCTCTATTCATCCATAGAGCAGGCCTGAGGCGTATCATCCATGCTATATAATCAATTCATGTATAATAAGAAAGAAAAAGACCTCCAACAAAATTTTCAATCATTTATTTGTACGGCAATTTTGTATATTACACATTCCTTAAAACGACCTTACAACAACACTTTATACAAATTTTATTAGAAAAAAAAACATTTAAAACTAGGAATCAACATTTATCGCATTAGAAACTAAATCATTCTACTATCATTCTGTAGCGATTCGCAACAATACTAAGACAACACGCTATCCTCTTTACACATTCGTAAAAGGACAAAGCTGCCAAATTTTGGTATTAAAAAAATCGCTAATTAAAATATCTGAAAAGGTAAAAACGTTAATATGGCATGGCATTTATCCCGAATGAGTGGTATTTTGTAACGTTTCTATCTCGACAGATGTTTTCGTATAAAACTAATATTTACAAAAAAAAAACGGAATTTGCTCCCGAATCCGCCCCTTAGAGATCATCATAGGAAGATTAGACGCCACATTATTCGTGCGACACGCGAAAAAATTGACATATCTCACCTCATGAAGTCTGTGCGTATCACCGCTAAAGATGGTTCCATCCCAGTTTCATATACAAATTTGAGCAGAGTTTAAGATTAATAACGTTTGGTTAAAGTTCGGATTCACACCCTTATCTATAGCCAATTATAAGTAATTATATAAGCAAATATTTTTTACAGAACAAGAATTTTAATAAAGTAAAAAACGTTAATAGTAATAATACTATTTTAATGGGCTATTAATAGTTCTCATTTCAATCAAATTTTCGTTTATTGGTTTAAAAATATGTGCTAATTATTATATTTTATTAATTTTACGCTGACACTGCTATAATGAAAAACGCTTAAAAAATCCACTTTTTAACTTATATCCCATCTCAGAGTACCAAGAAGAAAATGGATTTTTAAGCATTTTACTTTAAGAATAATATCGTTTAGTTGTGCCATTTTGTCAAGTAATTACTTCTTTTTATTATAGATACGAGTTGTTAGTCCTCAAGCATGTCTCCAATGAAAAAGTATTATATAGGTGCTAAGAGGTCATCCATAAATTACGTCACACTTTTGGAGGGGGGGCGGTCGCGAACTGTGATATTAGAACAATATTTAGTAGAATTTGTATAGATAAATAGATGACAGGAGGGGGTTAAAAATCCTGAATTTTGTGTGACGTAATTTATGACCAAAACGAAAAAGTTCTTTTTTTTATTCATTAGAACAGTTTTGTTGAATCAGAATAGTACTCGAACCTTCACGGGACCGTACTCAGCGGTGAAACGGACAGACCTACAAGGGTACCTACCTAATTTAACATTAAAACACATTAAACTAATATTTTTGGTCGTCAACAACTTACATTCTCAAGTCATTTTTCTATTGTGCGAATTTACATTTTAATTCCTATTTATAATAAAATTAAAATATTATTATTAAATATCATAATACGAAGTGAAAAAAACTTTAATGGAATGTGAAAAGTTTGAATATAACAATAATTAATATTATAGTAAGGTCAAAATAAACATATCGTTACTTTGCGCCGGAATGGGCGTAACTACTATTTTGGCCAAATATCTTTTTTGACAATATCATTTCAGTATCTATTATTTTATTTTACAAAACGATTTAATACATACTCACTTTATTTCTATACGAGAATAATGTTTAGGAATAGTTTTTCGAAGTCTGTTTAGATCGCAATTTTTAGGTTATGCGAGGCTTAATCACAAAAATACTACACTTAGTAAACAATACAAATCAAAGGTTTCATGTTGGATACCTATGTATTTATCTTTTAATAACGTTGAAATTTTTCAAATTGATATTTTTCATATGCCGGTTGACCCGAAATGTCAGTGTTACCTTCAAGTTAGTTTTTATAATTAACTAATTAATATTTACGAACTTGAACTTGAAAATGTAAAATAATAATTTCAGTCATATTTCCTATCCTTGTTTAGCGCATATGTTGAAAAAGAGACTTTAATAATTGTTTACAAATTATGTGCAATGCACGGCTTTAAATAATTATATCCACTAATTATAATTTTCGATGTCAACAATCACTTTATTAGTATAAAGACAGAAATAATGTCCCGTTTCTATATCAGCATATTAGTTATTATTTAGTATAGCTCGACTGGCATCTATATAAATTAATATATAAATAATAATATCACATCTGTGACAACAAAAGCATCACCACTGAGAAAACATATCAGCCATTCAAGTTTCACGTTAAAAATAATTTTATAAAAGAACAGAAGGGAAATTCCGCGATTTCGAATAAATAAAAAATGTCCGCAATGGTATTTGAACTCTACCCTTAATGTATTAAGGTATAATTGTGTGGTGAAATTTGTCTGTTTTGTATAATTAATCTTTGACATTGTATGTAGTTTTTTTTACATAAACTAACTGTTAATTAAACGTTATGATATAGAAACGGACGTTACGAGTCACAAACTATAGTATGCAATTAATCACATGTTTTTTCTCATATTTGCGATGTTGGATGTTATAATATTTATATGATAACATTAAAAATAAAAAATATTTGTAAATTAATTTTATTTTGACCTAAAATTATATCAATTTTACAGACGTCAAATTTGGCGGTAAAATTACATTCTTAAAATCTTTTTTAAAATAAGGTCGGTTTTCATTTTTCGGTTTCGCATTTTTAAGAGCTTACTATTTTGACTATATTTTCCACATGAATATATCAGTCTGAAGCATCAGGAACTTATGTATTTGATTGTATTTTATAGTCAAAACTAAAAATATGTCAATAGTTTGATATTCGTCGTTCATTCACTATTTTTTTTAAAGTGCGATTATAATTCTCCCACATACACATAGTATGTACTCCACATAAGAAAGAGTAGAATATTGAAATGAAATCACACCAATCAATACATCCGTTTGAAACAGACACCGATCATAAAGTTAATTGAGGTATCTATAATTTTATGTAAATGGCTGATGTGGTATGAAGAATTTTAAACAATAACTTATAATGAATCGTTTATCTCTTTCGTCATATAAGAGCAGTGACACGACCTGTTTAAGCGATAGCCACGTGGAATATTGCGATTGAATCTAACATACTTATGACCTAGCCACATACAACCGAGTTTCCATAAAAGCGACCGAGTCGCACATTTTAGCGACCGAGTTACACATTATCGTAATCAAATCGAACAAACACCCATATAACATTTAAGGGTCATCCATAAGTTACGTCACACTTTAGGAGAGGGGGGTGCTGACGAACTGTGACGTTAGAACAATATTTAGTGGAATTTATATAGATTAATAGGTGACAGGAGGGGGGGGGGGGGGGGGGGGGGTTAAAAAATCCTGAATTTTGTGTGACGTAATTTATGGAGGGCCCCTTAACTAACAAACACAACGAGAAAAGAAGCATTGAGCTTCTCCGGTAAATGTTTTGGATTAATAAATTAATATTGAAATTGGTTATAAAACTGATAAGTAATTTAACATGAATCATATATCAATTTACATAAATTTAATTTGTATAGTTATTGACACGAAATAGAGTATGATATTTTTTCTTATTAAAAAAAAAAAACAAAATGCTATGTAATGCTAAACATAAGCGCAATGCTAACCAAGATGGCTGTTTGATAGTGCTATTCTTAATTGGCTCGCATAGTATTTGCGACTCAGTCATACATGCTTGCGACCAAATCGTAAGTGTTACGTTTGTCGTATTGTTGGGTGTTGATGGCGTCTGTTGCGCGACTAGACTTAGTTTTTGGTGGTAGGCGGGCCATTCGCCGCGCCCATACTTAGTAGACCAGAGTAACCTAGTGGGGGAAAATAAATTTTAATTTTAATGATATTATTTTTCTTTTCTTTCTTTATTTTTATCTATGATGCCCAGTGAAGTTCTAGAAGGTAATAAAATTAGGTAATAAATGTGATGTTGTCTAATGTTCCCTTGGTGAAATAATTATTATGTTCGGATCAGTATTTTCGATGATCACCTCAAACAAAGTTAAGTTAGAAACTTTACATTCTTATCTATATACCTGTATATAAAAGCGTAAGGTCACTCACTCACTCACTCACTCACTCACTCACGCATTCACCACGTAATCTCAGAAACTACTAATGCTAAGTTTCAAATTTTGCATGCGGTTTCTTTTAGGATGTAGGTGCTCACTAAGGCGGGATTTTATGAAATTCAAACCCTAAGGGGGTAAATTAAGGGATGAAAGTTTTTATGGAATTTTCTGATTGGAAAACTAGATGTCGCAGGCGAAGATGTTGGCGGAAGGCTAGTAATGCATATATGTAAAAATCGATTGCTGTTTGTTGGAAAACTCGATGTCTGGGCCGATTTAGCTGATTTTGGTTATCAAATGTTTGTCGTAGTCCAGCGAAGGTTTAAATGGTGACATGTGATACGAAGTACACCGGATAATAAATAATGGATTACCTCTGAATTGGTTGGCTAATACATCTCTATACGCGGCTAGTTGTCTAGGGTCCATATGTCCCAGGTTGTATAGCGCTGTCATATAAGAGGGTTCCTTCTGCAGTCCCAACAGCGCTAGACCCCCTTGTGCCCCCAGCATGCTAGGCATCGAACTTTGACCATCACGAGATCCTAATAGATAAACATAAAGTATAGTAAAAATCTAAGTCGGCATACTGTAAGGTGATTTAAAAAACCAAATAGTCCATTTACAGTTTGCAAACGTAGTGCATTCGGTTTCTGTGCTTTATATTCATTAGTTGGTCACTGATATGGCAACGAAAACCGACTTGGGATCAAAGTAAATGTATCAATTTATATTCCAACTATAATGAACATACATAAAAATAATGTAATTACGAGAAGAAATATATAGATTTATAAAATAGTAATAACTTTGAAAAGTTAATAATAGATGGCGCTGATTAGATAGAAATTATGACAGCTGTCACTTGGTAATAGTTTCAATATTTAAAAAAAACTAAAATTAGAAACGACAACCCTTTTAAATGACGTTTAAGTTTAGTTTGAGACATTCTCAAATTTTAATTCTTAATTCAGAAGCTGGGTGTGAATCTATTAAAATTTAAGTTCAATATTGATTGTAAAAGTTTAGAATTTTTTTTTAAACTTACCAGTGGAACTGGTTGGTGAGACATCGTCCCTCGCATTGATCTGGTAATTGGGGACCACTATCGGGTTCTTCTTTGGCCCCGAGGGGGATGCGAGGGACCTAGATTCTTTAGGAGGCGTCGGCGTCTTACTCGACATGAATTTTCCGTTCGAAGATCTTTTCTGCGGAGGCCTATTCTTACTAGGAGTTTGGACTTTAGGATTCACGAGGGTGATCTCCAAGTTAGAGCCGACTACCGCTTTGCCATCGACTAATTTGTAATTCGTTTTACTTAAATTCTGAGCGTTATTTTTCGACGGAGACGGCGCAGTTGGTACTCTCACAATTTCCACCGCCGGTATTGGAGAATCTGATTTACACGTTAAATCTAATATGTCTTGGGGTAAAGTTGTTTGGGGTACCGCCCTAGTGGGTTTGACGGGAACTCCGTGGAGGACGTGTGGTGGGGGCATAAAGGGGTCTTTAGGGTTGCCATAGACGGTTTTTTCAGGTCGACTCGAACCGAATATGCTAGTGGCTTGAATAACTTTTGGAGGTTGTGTACCGTTGTAGTTAGGAGGGATTATGTTATACATTTGAAATAATGATGCTTGCGTCATTATCTGATGTTGCATCGCCGGGTTGAGGAGTAACGGCGCGGGGGGTAAGAGAGAAGGAACTGGGGACACGATAGGGGGTAGAGGCCAAGGAGGCACTGCTGTCACTTCTAGACCTCGCTCTTTGAGAATGTCCAACTTTTTCTTTTTCACAGATTGAGGACTTTCGGGGTACTCGTCTAGGTCGATGATTTCAGGTGACTTCGGCTTATATGGAACCTGTGGGCGTACAAAGTATTTAATTAAACGGAAAATATTAGTAGGTTTAAATGTTAAAAGTTATCTAATATTGTTAACAATAAGTGTAGTCAATATCAATAGTAAGAAATAATATTAAATTCCATTTAATAATAAAAAACACGATTGTACACTATTTATTTATTCTTTATTGCATAAAAAAAAAAACACTAATGGCGGACTTGATGCCGAAGGCGTTTTTTACAAGTCCACCAGAAAACGATGTTGACCAACGGCTTAATGTGCAGCTGTGCGTAGCTTGATATAATTATTTTGGTCACCCATCCCGTAATTAACCATTGAAAGTTGCATAACAACAATGAATCGCGAGCCCCGGCGCTTATCCTAGCTAATCTAGCAACAGCCGGTTTCTGAATTGAGAATTTAAAGTTAAGTACGTCTCAAACCTTACTTATACCATTTTAAACGTCACTTAAACTGGTTTTCATTTCTGATTATATTTTTTATTGATCAGTTGATATCAGTTTTTTCTAGACTAGGACTTGAGTGTGAAACGAAAAAAAAACTTGAGTTATTAAGTAAAATCAGTTTAGATTTTGTACTTTTCTTAATTCAGAAACTGGCCGTCAGTCTCATAGACACATATTGCTCTACATTAATATACCTCTATGATCTCATCGTCGTCTGGGGGCGCGGGGGGGCGATGTATACCGAAGTTGTTGACTGTAGGTGACCTCTTGCCCGCTCCCGCCCCCACTGCTGTCCCCGTTCCTGATGACGCCCCGCTTAACGTTGGCGCTAGGTACACATAACAACACATCTAAACACACCTCCAATACATACTACGAAAACTTTAACTATCAAAGCATTTTTTTTTATCGTTGAATTCCTCAAATGTTTTATACAAAACACCAACTACGTCGCAAAGCTAGTGGTTTTAAACCTCACAAAGTATCTTTTCTTTACTTGACTTGAAACCATAATGCATCAAGGGTAGATTTGAGAATCATTTGCGAAAATTTGACATATTGTGGCAACCTGACGTGCTTGTAGCATCTGTATCATCATTATCATCATCATCATCACCAGCCTATTAATGTCGTTAGTGCTGGGGCTCAGGCCTTGCCTATGGATGTAAACGAATCAAATCGAATAGGGAGAATGGGCCACCACGAGGGCCCAATGCAGATTGGTGGGTATTAACATCTGTAGATGCAGCCGGGACCAAGAGCTTACGTGCTTTCCAAAGTACGAAGGAGCTCGAGATAATAAATTTTTGGTCACCCATCCTATGACCGACCATTGCGAAAGTTATTTAACAACAATATCGCAGACTGACCGCCATCGAGCTTCTCTATCATACCACATAACAATCATACGGGTGTAAACTAAAATAAATACATTTCTTTCCTGGTAGTGTTTAATATTTATAATATTGCTTAAACTAGTTATGAAAAACAAATATTTTATGCTTGTTGTCACGTGACCGCAAACAGCGCGTGATATCACGCTTCTCTTATTCATATCAGAACTTAGAGAATTCAGCCTTATGCATACATAGAACAATATTAGTTTCAGAGCACTGTGACGTAAAAGATTTTTGGATTTTAACTTATTATATGAATGATACTTTTTAAAATATTCTTTTTAGATATATTTCACGTATATTTATAAAATAAAAATATAAGAAAGTTGTCTACACCCATTTTGTTTAGTTTACTAGATAATATTTACTGTTGTGAAACTTTGTTATGGCTAGATTTATTGACATATGTTAAAGCCGAGTTGTTTCTTAATAAATTTCTATATGCAACACAAATATATAGGTATTTCGTACTAAAAAACCGTGAATAATAATTTTCGTTTAAAGTATTCGAATTATGTTAGAACTCACAGATCAAACTTTCTTATTCCTGCGAAGTAGATGATGTTTTTTAAATAGCCCTGTATTAATGTATGTTAGGTATGATTTTTTTTACAGGTATAAAAAGAAATGATGTTAAAGATCAATGACAAAAAGTTTGGATGCGGGAAACTAGGACAAAATACCACAATGACGCATCGTTACAAACTTATTAATTATACCACGAAACTTTAATGCCAATTCAAGATTAAACGGATGTCACTTTCGAAGTGAATTCGGAGACCTGAGTGAATTCAAATTCGAGTACGGATTTTTACGGAACCGCTCTGCTGATTATAATTAAATGACTTACGTGTGCTTGCCGAAGGGTTAGAAATCCGCGGTCCCGGTTTGACTCTCACTGCTCTCAAAGAACTGCGACCAACTGGACGACTGCTCTTCTACAAAAAACAATTTATTCATTTTATTTATATTTTATTTACATTAGTTACTTGCATGTCCTTATATTGAAGTGAACTCTCAATTATAGGTTGCCACGGCAAGCCTCATAAGAAAATTAAGATTAAAAAATAATAAAATGGGCATGCAAATTACATAGCAAGCATGTTTCATTCATGACAACAGCATAGTCCTCCGACATTTTGTCTTGGATTCGAATCTAATTCACTGAAACTGTTGCCATGACTAAGGACAACTTTAACCACTGCAACAACAGCAACTAAACGGCTATTAAAAACGAATAAAGTGGACTCATAATCCATTAGGATTGGGCAGTGTTTTAGGTGTAGCACAATCATAGAATGTTGTCCTCCGTGGTTGTGTTGCTCACACGCCAGCGGTATCTAAATATATATGATTAGATGCCCGCGAATTCACCCGCGTAAATCATAGTTTAAGTGAAAGTATTTTTAAAATCAGTCCGATTTCTTCAAAAACTTTTATACAAACGAACAATCAAATCTTTCCTCTTTATAATAATTAGTCCAGATTAGTGACATTAGATAATCAATCTTATGTTTTGTCAATAGATAATTGTTTACATTCCAAATTAATTCATTAATCAATTATATTAGTAGGCCCGTCTTTACCCATGGTGCAGGGGTGCAACGCCGATGATCATCGGGAAATTCCCTGTAATGAGGAGGCGTCAGAGGAGGCCTGTTGTGAGTTTTAATAAAATGTTTCAACCAAAAACTTTCCGACAATATTCCTAACATTATGATGCTTATGGTTCATTAGATTTTATGCCACAAATCTTTTCAATCTAGTTTATGGGAGAGACTGCCTAACTCTAGTCAAAAGGTGGTAGCTCTTAGAGTTATAAGACTATGAGAGTCAGACGGTGGCTCTACGAGATTTAAAAATATTTAATACTTGTTTGGACATCGAACCTGATCCGCGTTAGTGTCGTGACCGTTGTATTTGTCCCCGAGCGCGGAGAGTGTGGCGAGGGAATTGCTCGTGAATTCCTGCTGTTGCGACCTCTGCGTTTCTTGTAGGAACGGTGAATCTAATGTACCTAAAAATCAACATGAGAATGCTGTATGCCGCTCCAGATAGACCTTGTTATACATGTGTGAGTAAACATGACATTTTAACGGTGGGCCTTATGACATAGCGTACCTTATTTGCCGCAGGTACCTTATATAAATAAAGAACAGCAGTTGCTAAGTATAAGCTGGAGTTAATGTCGCATTCGAAAAACATTTACATAGTAATTTAAATTATTTTCCTCATGGTTACATTGAACAAGCTAACATTGAAAGTAATTTTTATAATCGTTATAACAGTTGTAAAATGCCCTGGGTACACGATAAAAATGTTTCTTTATTGGTTATATTAATTAAACACCAAAATAAAACTAAAGGGACATCCATATATTACGTCACAACGTCATGGGGGAGAAGAGGTTTATTGAAGTGCGAATTTTGCGAGGAGGGGTGGAGGGGTTTTTAAATTATGTGACGTCATATTTCAAAATCTAATTAAAAATACGATATTAGAACTACTTCAAACTCTATAAAATCTCATTTAACTCGAATGTATATTGAATAATGTAATTATGTAATCCATGAATTGAGAGTTGAGATATATCGGTATATCTCTTTGTTCCGCCAATCTATCCTTTTTTATCGTTTGGAACAGCTTTTTGCTAGAGCGACAAAGATAGTGGTTATGCTATCGACTATCAAATGATAGAAATTTGATTTGATTATATTATCAAATAGGGACTCGGCAAAGGTTAACCTAGTACGAGGTTCTAAGGAAGTAATATTTACTTCTAGAAACTATTACTTTCTTATTCTCTGTAAAATATGAATTTGGACTAACGCTAAAATTGCAATTTTAGCGTAAATTTACTCCAACGCTAAACCTTGTTTATTCATAACACTGCTTGACAGTGTTGGCTAGGCGATGGAAACCAAATATTTACACAGAGCTCTGGAGTTAAACAGAACCTACCTTTATAGTACTGGTTATAAATAATTAATTACACAGATATTTTTACCGAAATATTTATGACCATAACTGCCGTCTAGCTTCTATATAAATATGCTTTACTCTAGGATTCCGCAGACCACACATTGTGAAATGCTGCTGTGGATAGTAAATGTATTTAAGATTCATATTGCCATTTTGCCAACATTCTTTATCATCAGCCTATTTATATCCCCACTGCTAGGGCACTGGCCCTCACTGTAAATACAATCGAATTTAATAGCACGTCAACCCAGTGCAAATTAGTGGCTGTTGAAGACTGCAAAGGACCAATGGATTAAAGTGCCTTCCGAAGCACAGAGGAGCTCGAGACAATAAATTTTTGGTAACCTATTCTAGAAACAGCTCGATCTGCCAACGTTATTGAAAGACAATTCGACTCACCTAATTTTTGTGGGGTCTCACTCTTGGGCACAATACTACTATCGCACTTTTCACTCGGTCTTTTTTCACTAACAACATCTGTTGGCCTACATAATTCCTTCGCACTATGTTTCACAGCAAATTCACTATTTCCATCGTACAGTCTATTCACATTACTAGGTTCGATTAACTTTTCTACGGGTTTCACTGTTATTTTCATTGTTTTTTCCGATTTCTCCTCCTTCGGTAACGATTCAAGGAATTCCCTATTCAATTCCTCTGCCGGTTTAAATACTAAGTCCAGTTCCTCTTTCGATTCCGGTGGTTCGATATCAGTCTGCGAAATCATAAATGTTTAGTTAGTCAACAGTCTGGTTATACAAATCTGTCCGATTTCTTCACTTGATTTTAAATCTTAATACTTTGAGGGTAGAGTTAAAAATCATTTGCGCTACTTTAACATATTGTAATAACCTGACAGGACATATATTTCATGTCGATCAAAGGATCTCCCGCGTAAGAGACCATCTAAAAAGTACGCCACATGAATTTCATGATTTTTCTGTAAACTCATGATGTGGGTGTGAGCGCATCAAGTTACCACAAAATGTTAAATCTCAAATGATTTTGAACTCAACTACCAATGTCAAGGTTAAAGAATAATTGTATAAATATGTTACTTGCTGATAATGTAACTTTATATTGATGAAATAATTTTTAAAATCAATCAATTAGTTATTTTATTCATTAAGAACAAACAAATTGGTTCGAAATTTTAAATCTGAATAAATATAACTGTTATCTCACCTTTTTATCTGTCGCGGGACCTGTATCTCTATGGGGCGAGTCCCGTAACTCTATGGTGGCGATTGTTTTAGGCTCCTCTAGCCGACCGTTGGGTAACCGTGAACCGTTCCGGGACTCATGTTTCTCGTACGGTAGAAGGTATCTGAGAGAAACGGTGGGTATTTATTTATTATTCTTAAAATAGGGTGAATTCATGTCAAAGTTATTTCTGTGATATATTGTGATAGCGGGCCATATCAATGTGGTCAGGTATCACTGTATGTCACAGAAAAAAATATTGTTTTTTTTTGGGATTTTAAATTGCACTTGGAAGCCACACTTTAATTAAGTTATAATTAAGAAGTGCAAGTTAAGATTAGCGATAGTAGATACATTTTTAAGAACGATTCAAAATTTTGCGTGTGAAAAAACATATTAGATCCTTAAGTGTCATGTTAGTAACTACATATTTCTGCGATCCATCTATTTTAAGAAAGTCAATATTAAATGTTTGATTGAAAATAATTTAGCGCCAATGAATGATGAGTATGAACTGTGCTTGTGGTGCTTAACGTTACTTAAATTAAGGACTGTATCAAATGACATTAAGTAACATCTTGATATCTAATCTAACACAATTTGATATGTGGCTAACTACAGATTAATAAAAAAGTTGATGTGTTTAAGTGGACATTCGCTTTTGGAACGTCGAACATGTGATACAGATTTATCTTGTAAGAAAACAAGAAACCTTAGTAATAATTATTATTAATTCCCACATCCAATAGGTACATGAACTTTTTGTATGTAGCAACCAGCTATAAAAAATAAAACTTCATTTTCAAGGCTTCATCGATAAAACAATATAGTTATTACCTCTCGTAGTGGTTACGCGCGCGCGCTGGTTGTGCGGCGAGCGCGCGCCACTGTCTACGGCGACACACCGTATGATACCCGCCGCGCGCGCGCACGCGCATGTACAGAGACCGTAACGACACTACAACATACAACATTCAATTAATTAAGACTGGTGTAGACAGTAAACGAAAATAAATACATATTAACATTACTTTCTTTTTTTTATTGAAAATTAAATTTATTTTTAGATTTTAACTTATTAAATGAATAATACTTTTATATATTTTATGTACGTATATCTATAATATAAAAAAGTTATCTACACTCTTATTAATATGCTCTTTATTGCACTGTTTATTTTTTTTTTATTAATAAAGCTAAGAATTTGCCTGTTTGGTTGAACGTGCTAATCTCAGGAACTACTGGTTTGAATTGAAATAATAAATGTGTTGAATAATCCATTTACTCAAGAAGGGTATAGGCTAATAATATTACGCTATAGGAGTGGAGCAGAAACGTTGCCTGAAAAAATTACAGGCAACGTTTCTGCTCCATTAATGTTTTTTTTTTTACTTCCCCAGTATAAAATAATTAATTCATAGCTACAACACTTCGGTGATCGTTGCCGGCAAACTTATTAATGACTAGCTATCATGATTTGGCCCGCGTTCATTCTGAGTATAAATATACAGAGTTTAGCATTAACAACGGTCAGTATGGGAAAGTCTGAAACTATAAGACATACGATATATATAATATAATATATAATCAGATACCGATTGTGTAGGTTTTATACAGTTAATGTTACTTATAATGCATGATGCCTTCCGTTCTTAATATTACACCCTGTATATACGCTTTAAGTCAAGTGTAAAAAAACACTCACGATCTTTCAACGGCGTCGGCTCTCCGACTTCTTTATGGAATTGCCTCAGCCGGGATAGGAACGCGCGATCCTCCGCCGTGTCTCTGTGTTCCTCATCTCCAGAATGCTTCTCACCACCATTCCTGAGTGAGACTCGTCGTGACGTTTGAACCTATAAAAACACAGGAGTATAAAGACTGACTTTAATAGGACAATATATCCTACTATTACAAGTCGATATTTTTTTATTTAGCTTTTATGTTAAATTTTTTTATCGAATAATAAATTACCTATTGTAAATTCTAAAATAATTTTGTGAAGCTGCTTTACGATTTCTGAGTTTGGCGTTCGTTAAAGTTTTCTAGATTTTGATGACAAATGCTTATTTCTGCACTTGTTAAATCTTAATTGTGAGCGAAGCAATTCAAAATTTTCCGATAGTTTACAATTTCGCGAGGTAAGATTATACAATTTTACAGTGACACATAAATAAGATATTGTTGGCTTTGAATTCGTTTGCCGAATTCAAGGTTGCTGGGTTAGTCTACCTTATACTAAAAATAAAGAAGATTTCACATTCATTTTCGCTCCAACCAATAGTCGATACTATATTCCTAGATAGGTGTTAGAGTAGGTGTTATATGTATACTAGCAGTGTATTAGACTCATTCGGGTTTAGTTTGGACATTTTATTCGCTTCTTAACTTTTCCTTCTGTGTCACCCATTCCTTCTATGCCGGCCAATAAACGATCAATCTATATCTTGATCAGATCAAAGTTGTGGATTGAAGACAAAAATCAAATGATCTGTATAATATGTGATCCATTTCAATCCAGCAAATTACACGATCACTGTGATAAAAGTCACGGATTGATTTGACGGTAGATTGATCGTCTATTAGCCAAATATGAAAGAAAATGTAAACAATAGTTGTCCAGTTATTACGTCAGAATATAGACTAGAGGAAAACTAACCTATCTATTTTTAACCGACTACGGCGATGCGAAAAGGAGGGTTATGATTTTGGCCGGTATGTATGTAAGAATTGTTCATCTGTTCCCTTATAACTTCGAAACTATTCATCGTAACTGGACAAATTAGGTATTAATAGAAGCTTTCCGCGTGCTATAGTTTTTGTGATCTTAAGTAAGAACTATCAAGAGCTTCCTTCCTCTTTCCTGTGAGCAATGACTCCTCCTGGTGACTACCTCCGTAAGTACACCAACGCAATCGTATACAAATGCGAAACTATGAGAATGCGAATGGGGCTGTTACCATATGTGAAACAAAATTCGTGATATTCGGATAGTCATCAGAAATTAGGACGAGCGGCAACCCTGAATGCGAAACATGTGCGTCTGTGTAACGACTTTTTTCGCAGTTGACTGCGAAACTGTACTGACAAGGACACAGTTGTTTCATCGAGCTAATAATAGAGCAGGACAAAGCACATGCCAAACATTGTCATACAACTGACAAGATTTTGCAAATATTTCGCACTCGGATGCAATTCCGTCAGTGCGCTAATGGCGTAAAGGCGTGAATACCTGTGGTGTATCAGTGTCGGAGTCACGTTCAGGCGAGGCGGACGTGTCTGGCGAGGCGGAGGCGTCGGGCGAGGCGCGCCGTCGTCTACCACGCGGACGACCCTTCAGTTTGGGCGCTAACTCGTTGCACACGAACTCGTGACCCTCCAACTCGGGATACTCGAACGTATCCTGCCCGATTACCACCCATGATACTTGAGCACAATGAAAGGTTTAAAAAAACTTAGTTGACCCCGCGTACTTTTATGCCACGTTTTTAATAATAAATTAAAACTTATGTTACAAACGTTTCCTATTTATATTATGCCCGTAATACAGCAGCGCATTGGTGTGCGGAAACAAAACTCTGCGAAACTCCTGCGTTATATGTACTACACTCTTTTGCAAAGAAAAGTTAGTATATAATAATTGTTGTAATCTGTAACAAGTATCAATTTTATGGTTTCAGCAATTAGTATATTATCGTCATGATGATAATAATACCTTGCAGTAAAGTATCCTCGTGTTGGTGGTGGGAGCTGCGTAACCTCCTAAGGCTGCCACAAGCGAGTCTCGCAGCCAGTCGCCTTGTATGCCTTCTAGCCGAGAAAGGAGGGCCCGGTAACGGCAGTAACGTGGATAAGAGAACACCACCACTCCTGGACTTTCCGTGTCCACTGAAAAGAACATAGGCATACCCTGAGCGAGGAACGCACGATATCATAGTACTACCACCCAACTAAGCCTTATATCCATATCCATTAGGTAGCATTTAACACCCTGGCGATTCTTGCCTAATTAAACAATCGGCACGCTAAGACGTCGAAGTCGAGCACAGTGACGTCACAGCTATCATGGTTCAATGTATTAACAGTTTTATTTGGTTGAACCTCTATGCTCAAGGCTATTTATTTCATAAATCAACCACTACAGTACCCACCTAAGGCGCTTTTCTCTTTATCCACGTCGCTGAAGTCTAACTTCGCTTGATGCAGTGGCTGTGTGAGACGGGGTTCCTGTGGCGGGGCGCACGCTCCCCGCCATACAGCGCGCAGCCCCCACCGCCATCCAGTACCATCGCAAACCCAACTGAGGAGATCCTCAGCGCGGACCACCACTTTATCATTGATAGCTAGAACTTCGTCCTGGAAAGAAAGAGAAGGAAACATTATGCGATGATCGTATGCATGATAATCATTGAAGAAGTGTTGTCATAGCATAGACATGCCTCTGATTTAACGCTATAATAAAATCTAGAAATCAGGTAGGATTGGGACCTTCATCATGTGCCATGCTAGTCTGACAAATTCGAGGGTGTATTTTAATAAGACTAATATGTTTTTATTATATTTTATCGGTTTTTATACGAGGAATAAATTTAAATATATACTTTTAATCTGATTGATAAGTATGTACATATATTCTTCGTAAAAAATAAATTCATAATTGGGACCGATTTTTACAACTTGCCTTGCCGTGTTAGCGTGAGTCAAACCTTGCAAGATTAATTTAACCTACTTCCCGTTTTTCGACTGAGCTGAAAATTTTCATGCATATGAAACTTAGATGACAATGCAATGTTTATATGAAATGGTGCTGATGTAATAGCCATGGGGCCTATGTAATTAACCGAAGCTATCCCGTCGAGTATCGGCTCGTTTGATTTGTCTTGACAATAACTTTGATCCAGAGCCTGATATGGAACTGTTAGGAACTTTGTAATTAAGTAATGCAACCCCAGTGTTGCCAACTCTACTGTTTTAACAGTAGATTTGCTGTTTTCACATTGATGCCTCTGTTTTCCGTTTCATTCCTATTTATTTTATTAGCGTTCAGCGCCACCTATTAGGTAAACAATCGATTGCTTCTTATTTCAAGCCACAGAAGGGCACCTGAAGAAATTCAACAAGATTATGTATGATTTAAAAAAAATGAGTCACGAAATACCAAGCCATAGAAATAGAAAAGTATGTATAAATGAAAGAGTAATGAACGTGGCGAATGTAAGTCTAAGGACCGTACATTGTGGAGTTCGGTCTTCTCTGCCTACCCCGCCAGAGATACAGCGTGAAGATATAGATAGATAGAATATATTAGGTTTAAATATATAATATGCTTTTTTTACATACTCTACTGTTTCCTCCTGTTTTTTAATTGGTGATCTATCGGTTTCTCTTTTATTGGGGTCGGCAGCACTGCGCAACCCTATAGCGTTTGGACTTCTTTGAAGTGTCTATTTAAGCTTTCTGGTCTAAGAAAACCTTAAATCTTTCACCAGTAGAATGATAAACTATACTTAATCACTAAATAACATAGATTAAGTTTTCTGCAAGCAGAGCGTGGCTGGGTTCGTCTAGTATATAAATGAAAATATTAATATTTACTCTCGTTCTGCACGCCAGAACTCTGAGTAAGGACAAAAGTGGGCTATATTAACAAGGGATTATGGCTCATTGGGTTGGAAAATTAAACGTAGGCACTTTGAGTCGATTTTACTGTACCCTGTATCTTGACTTTTGTGTAATTTGATAATCCGTTTTGTCTTTATACGAACCATACCTTACATAGTTAACTATACTTCTGTAAGTAACTTTGTATATAAAAAAATATGCATATAAAACGTGACTTTGAAACTGGACATATTTATATATTAATGAAAATTTTAAGTAGCTATAAAGAAAAATATTACCACAGAGTATAGACTAGATTCCTTTGATTAAATCTTAGAATATAACTAAAGCATAGTAACCATGATAAAATAGCTAGCTATCTTGCCTATAAGACTAAATGAGATAACGACTCTACATTTGTTTCTTATTTATTAAGGTTGTCGCAAGTTGATTGTCAAACTGGTTGCAAAATTTATATATTTTACATTACTAGATATCGTTATATTCTCTTAATCTTCAATATAAAAATGACAACCTAATTTGGTAGCATCATAGTGACATTATTACTTACACGGTAATTGGTATACATCTTTGATTAAAACAAAAAGCGAAGATATAGTTCAAGCGCATTTTAAATGGAAACTGAAATTAGGTGCATGCACATAATTTCGCTTTTGTCACAAGAAAAAGAGTATATACATCATATTATGTAAATGTGCGAAAGAGAGAATGGATATCAGCTGTGCGGCATGTTGCTATAGTTGAAACTTATCGCTGTATCTTGCTTGGTCTGGGAATACCGTGTGTGAGTTTACTTATATAATTTTATCAGTGCCATTTTTTGGTCAATGCAACTATGAGTATACCGTATCTTCCCTTTTTGTTTTAATCTTATTTTTTTCTCAGATATACCATGTGGTATTGGTGGTATATCTGAGAAAAAAAAAATTAATAAAGTATTATTCAAAGAAAATTCAAAGCAGTTTTTGTGATAATAAAATCTGAGAGTTAAAGAACGTCTGTAATAAAAAAAATCTTGTGTTATCGTGGGCTGCAAGTCTCACACAGGACGAAAGAAATATTCAATAAACAATAACCTTTCATCTGTGAGTTATGATTGTTTTTGACTTTATTGATATCAGTGAACTACCCAAAACTTAGTTATTATACTAATGGTACGTGTAATTAGTCTTCATGTCCAATACGGGTATAGACAGTAAATGAAAATAAATACATTTTTAATTACTATAAGTATATTCTACTGTTACCGATAATCATACTTTTATGCTTATATTTATAATATTGCTTAAACTAGTTATGAAAAAAACAGGAAAAAACAAATATCTTATGCACGTGACGTCACGCCCTTCATACTCATATCAGAACTTAGAAAATTCAACCGTATGCATGCATAGAACGTCATTCGTTTCAGAGTGCCGTGACGTCATAGCGCTGCCATAACAGAAGTGGCGTTTACGCGGGAAATTTTGAAAATTAATTTACTTTTTGAAGTTGACTTATTATATGAATTGTATTTTTTTAGATATATTTCATATCTACAAATAAAAAAGTTGTCTGCACCTCTATAATCTGGCGATTTTTGCTTAAACAGAAGTTTTGTTTACATCGTAGAGTAGATAACACAATTTTATTATATTCTACTACCATACTGATACGGGTTGGGGACACTAAATAGAAAACAATCTTAGTAGACACATATTATTTAGGATAATTTATTAGTATTAACATATAAGTTAATGGTTGTTATCTATACTAAGTCTGCATTAATATTATAAAGAGGAAAGATTTGATTATTTGTTTGTTTGCATCGAATAGGCTCCTACACTACTGGACCTATTTTAAAAATCCTTTCACCTAAGGGTAGCTACATGATACAAGGTTGACATAGGTTATAGATTACGCATGCGAAGTCACGGGACAACAGCTAAGATTCTAGTTTCAAAATAATAAAAATTATTTGACGGATTAAAATACTACACTATTGATAATGATACAAACTTTATTTTGCTACAGATTTCCGAAAACTGAAGCCTTGAAACAACAATGGTTGCAGCGTTTAAGAAGACCAAATTTGAGATTGACTAAACGCAGTCATAATTCTGCTCTAAAATGTATCCGAGTAATCGATAGTCCAAATGAAGAAGTAATTGATTCGAATCTACATTAATCGAGATGCAAATGATCCAATCGTTAGAAGGATACGTTTTTCTCAGTACTTTTATAAAACCACGAGTTTAATTTGTTTTGAGAATTTTCATGATGTTGATATCATTATATTTCACACAATAAAGTAAAAATACAGATCAAAACTAAAATAAATCAGAAAACAAAATAAAAATCCGTTAATAAATGACCAAGTTATAGATTATTTAAAACTGCGTGTTTTCGCACGGAATGTCTGTGGCCTCCGACTCGCCTGTGACGTCACAGCACCGAACTCGAGCGGATCGCACTACAAATTAAAGGGAAGTATTTGCAAATCACTTATTATTTTCTAGTTATTGGGTGCTCTAGCGTTTTTTATTATTAATGGACATTATTTATTTATTTTTTTGTTGAGGTACTTATTATTGATTACGATTTTTCTTACATTTTGAGTAGAAAAAAAATTAATTAACTTGTCAATTATCATTTACCTGTTTAATGTTTTCGTGTCCACTTTTGCAACCAATTTTAATGTTTTAATACAGATGAACAATATTTGATTGCAGCTTTCAATTTTTTTTTCTAGCAATGTAGTCATCTTTGTTTTATCAAATAAAAACATATAATGGATTACAAAAATATTTACATTTTCAAAATGATATCACACCATATCTTATTTATATCAACTCGTTTTTATCGAATGCAATCGCCATTTTGGTTAACTTACATTCCACGGATTACAGTTAATTTTTAAAAATTTCATTCCTTACATAAACAGTACGAATACTGAGCTCGGTATTTAATCTTTAAATTTGTCGTGTACAGACAGACAATCGAAATGAGAAGAGTTTGTTATGTAATACTGTAACGAGGTCCGGGATAGCTTGGTAAATGCTAGTCGAATGAAAAGGCCGACTAGGCTTGACAAGTATATTTTCGGTAAAAAGAAATATCTGGGTTTTTCTTAGTAGGTAAAATGTTTCATGGAGATTTATATCGCAATTCACAACACAGATTTTACGATGACATATTACTTCCTTAACATTTTTTAATGATTAAATCAACATTGTTACGTGTTCTTGACGGATGATTTTTTTTTTATAAACAGAATGTTACTGTAGTTTCTTAACTACTCTTTAAAAATGAGCATGACGTGTTTATAAAAATTACAAATTACGAAAATAGAATAATAAATAAGAAATGACCTTACAGATTAGAGTGAAAAAGTTTGTATGCGGGAATATAATAAACGGTGTGGTACGACACCGTCACAATATATTCAAATACATAAGGCGGCAGATATATAGGTATGCTTATGGCAATTATTTTTAAAAGCTAAAGAAATTAATTAAACTTAATTGCTGAATTTTGCTTGGGACGTTTTGTACAATATAGAAACGATCAAAGATATCTGAAATTATTGACTGTCTGGAATCTAGTGGTTGCCAAGGTTAATTTATTTTTATTTTAATACTAAAATTTTTGTTTAACACTTACTTTATTTAGTACCGAATCAATTCATCGACTAGTAGATACAAAACATGCTTAAGCTGAATTTCCATATAAAACGATCTCCATCAATGTTTTTG